GGGGGAGGAGTCTGTGAGATTGAGCTCGTGGTAGGGGGGAAGGGTTTCGGCATAGATTTTGTCGCGGAGTTCGCGGGGCAGTGTGAAGAAACCCACGTGAGGGGCTCGCTTGCTTGAGGCCATCTCGGACGGTAGGGTGATGGTCTTGCCTCAGAGAGAGGAAGACGCGGTAGCGTGATCGTCTTGTCTTCGGAGGAGAGGCGCGCGGTAGGGTAATGGTCTTGCCTGCGAGGGAAGCAGACGCCGTCGTGTGCTTATCCTCTCCTTGGTTTAGGAAGAGCCGGTGGTGTGATCGTCTTGTCGTCAGAGGAGAGCGACGCGGTAGTGTGATTGTCTTGCCTGTGATGGAAGCAAGTAGATGTGGTATAGCTTGTATTTCTTTGCGTCGCTGGTGGTTCTTTCGCGTGAGAGGTAATTCTGGCGGTTTTGTGTCGACTTCTGCTTGGAAAGAGTCGTGAAGTAGGCTCTTTGCGTCTGGAGTCGATGGGTGGCTACGACGGGTGAGAGAGGTAGTACTTATTCTTACGAGTGCTTCTGATTTTTAGGACAATTGCCAGCGTGTCAGTATCGACCCAAACTTTCAAACAGTGGGACTTGAGGACATGAGTGGCCTCATACCAAAGTTGCAAAACAATGGGAGGTGAGGACATAACACGTCCTTGGGAGCGGATCTTCGACGTCCGCCCAACGCAATCGTCAAGAATAATCAGTTTTTCCGACCAGGCAGGAACATCTCTGCCAGTCACCTTTGCCACAGTAGTATTTTCACTGGAGAAAGCTGTCTGAGATGTCACTGCTCTATGCTTTCTCCGGTGAAGCGAAGTGGTCCCTGCCGGACAGCTTGACTACGCGCAAAGCGGCGCCACAAGAAGTTGCCTGAGCTACAGCGCCATCTGCCGAAAATTTTGCGTTCTTGTTGAAGATGGCCCAGTCAGGAAGCTGGCAAATCGAGGAAGTGAGGCGGCCGTGGTGGGTCCTTAAGGATCTTGCGCGCCAAATTCGGGACAGATGTAGCTTTCGAACAAGATTGGCGGTGCTGTGGTAGCTGCTCAAGATGAACAACGCTTTAATTTCGTGGCCATAAAGGCAGACTTGGTCAAATTCGCAACGACGACGTCGTCTCTGCTGTCCTTCTCGGCCAACATTGGAGCTCGAAAACGTATGGGCAGTCTGTCCTCGCTGACCTAAAGTTTGAACATTTGTCAATTTTGGTATATCTACAGCGCAAGTCTCTTCTCCACTGCAGAGGCCCGCGCGATGCGCATGGCGTCTTTCCCATGTAACGCCATAAGCTCTATCTCTCGCTCGACTGCTGTACTTCCGGCTCTACCGCATATCTCCCCTCCTCGCCTAGTCATCGTAGCCCGTGGGTATTACTCGCTTGCCTTTCGGAACTGCGGATGGACTAAGTGTCAGTATGCTTCGGTCTCGCTCTGTTTCGGTATTCGGGTTCTGCGTACTCGGATATGTGAGAGGAATCTGGTTTCGCGGTCCGTCGCCTAGGCGGTGTCTGATGGGCGGCACAACGACCTGTACATGCGGTTAGCCCGTCCTCTCATATCTGCAACTGTTCTGCGCGACATACCATTGTGACTGGGCCGAGAGAGCCCACGACAACGGACCAGAACAGGGCAGGCTTCCTCCGGGCCATGTAGTGGATCCATGTGCCGGGCGCTTGCCAGAACGACACGGGCGCCATGATGTCTCGTCGCTTCTCCGCTCGATTTCGTATGTGGCTGTGTGTGCGCGCTGTCCTCGAGGCTACAGGTGTCGCGTGGATGAGGACGTGCAGCGGCGGCGGGATCCCATGGAAGCGGAGGTGAAGTCAGAGCAGTCGCAGCTCTCCTCCGACAGCCTTGGCATTGGGTGTGGATCGTCGGCCAGGGTTGCGTGAGCTGCCGCTACGTGTTGCGTAGAGAATTGATGGAGCTGTCAATCATTGTCGCATTGCACACTCCAACAGCACAATGCGCTTCTCAATCATCGGCCTGCTCCTGGGCATTGTCACCTTCGTTTCGGCGTTGAGCGCTGAAGGGAGCAAGTTGCTGGTGGTCATCGATGAGGATGCCGACAAGACACAGTACTCGCAATTCTGGTCAGACCTCGCAGGTATGCAGCACTGATGATATGAACAATGAGTGATCGGACTGACAGTACACGTAGAACGAGGATTCGACATCAGCTACCGATCGCCCAAAGACACCTCGCTGTCGCTCTTCCAACACGGCGTCCCCGCCTACTCGCATCTCCTGCTTCTCCCCAGCAAGCTGAAGGCTCTCGGTCCCGCCCTCACGCCGAACCAAATCGTCGAGTTCGTCAACCTCGGATCGAATGTCCTCCTCGCCCTCTCCTCCGAGCAAGCCGTGCCTGCGTCCATCAGCAGCCTGCTCCTCGAACTCGACATCTCCCTCCCCGCCGACCGCACGAGTCTCGTCGTCGATCACTTTAACTACGATTCGAAAACCGCCGCTGAGAAGCACGATGTCCTGCTCCTTCCTTCGCCATCGCCGAGCAAGCAAGAGGTCAAGAACTTCTTCAGCGTCGATGGCTTGATCGCCTTCCCACACGCAGTCGGACAGGTGCTGGGCAATGCCTCTCCTCTGCTGGCATCCATCCTCAAAGCGCCGTCCACAGCATACATCTACAACCCCAAGGAGGACACCGAGGGTGTCGAAGACCCATTCGCGACAGGTTCGCAGATCAGCCTCGTCACTGCCTTCCAAGCCCGCAACAGTGCCCGCTTCACTGTGCTCGGTAGCGCAGAGTCCCTCCAAGACAAGTGGTTCGACGCTACAGTGCAGCTTCCAGGTAGCAAGAAGGCGGAGAAGAGCAGCAACAAGGCATTTGCGCAAAAGGTGTCCGCTTGGACATTCAAAGAGCTGGGTGTGCTGCAGGTCAAGACCATCAAGCACTACTTGAACGAAGGCTCGCAAAAGGGCATTGCCAACACCACAGAGGTCGCCGGCATCGATCTGAACCCCAGCATCTACCGCATCAAGAATGATGTGCATTACGAGATCGAGGTTGCAGAGTGGGAGAACGACCACTGGGCGCCTTTCCACCCACCAGCTGGTGATCACCTGCAGTTGGAATTCAGCATGCTTTCGCCATTCCACAGGCTGAACTTGCAATCAAAGGGACAAACTGCCAACACTACCATCTACCGGGCTGAGTTCAAGACGCCTGATCAGCATGGTAAGCCTTTCTAGTTCGCACTCTAGTGTCCAATCTAACGTCTCGCAGGAATCTTCAACTTCTTCGTCGAGTACAGGCGACCCTTTTTCACCAACCTGGAGGAGAAGCGCACAGTGACAGTACGACACTTCGCTCACGATGAGTGGCCGCGATCCTTCGTCATCTCCGCAGCGTGGCCATGGATCTCTGGCATTTGGGTCACTGTGGGAGGTTTTGTCGTCTTTGTGCTGGTCTGGTTATACAGCAAGCCAGCTGACACCAAGGTCAAGACGCGGTAAACATTTGCCAAGATACTGAGAGAAATATGTATCAAGATAGATAAAAAAGCACGTTTTCAACCTCAGTCGCCTTCGGGCATTGCGCGACGAATCGACTCGACCATGCACGACTGCAGAGTAGTGAGATTCTGACGGAGTCTTCGAGACGCCCGAGGCGCTGCAAAGACGGGTCGTGCAAATTCTGGATCCGTTGAGTCCCCGCCACATAAAAACGCCTCGAAAGAAACGCTCACACCACCTGCCAATAGCAACAATATTCAAGCCACATAAAGACACAGCTACCTCAATCATTGGCCAGCATCTTCTGCATGTGCGTCTAGGCTCTAGCTACAAGCCGCAAGTGCATGCATAGATGCCACGTGCGATACCTGTCTGAGAATCTTCTTCGCCGTGGTCTGGACCAGCTCTTGAGCACTCGAGAACGACAAAAAACTGATTTGCCCTGCGATCACTAGAAAACCTTCCAATACCGAGATCTACGCATGCAAGGCGGCGCAAATCCAATCGACGCGAGCGCTGCGCTGCAACGAAATATCATGCGACACATGGCGACTCATCTTCACTCAAATGTGGCGCTGCTATGGCTTCGAACCAGGACTAGCTTAGGTAGCTTCTACCGCCGGAGCTCGCGAAGCAGCGCGTTTGTACTGCGGTAGCTTTTTCTCTGTAGTGCGGACTGGCGAGGGTCAAGTTCTTGCAGTAGAACCGCATATCTGATGAGAGGTACAGCTTTGCCCTCCTTCGCGTTATCTTTCTATCTTTCTTTCTGCCAACGACTACGGATATGCGGTTTCTGCACCTCCTTTGCCTCGCTGGCCCAGCGCTAGCTCAAGTGTCAACCATCAGCTCCTGCCAGACGGTCTTCACTGACAAGGCATTGGCCACTGTCAAGACTTACGGCAACACGGAGAGTGGAACCACCGAGTCTACTCGATACAAGACATTAAAAAGCACAATCACGGTGACTGCCAGCCCACCAGCTGATAAGACATCCGTATTTCGGATCACGAAAATCGTTGCGACTCGCCCTGTACAAATAACTCGATCCCAACCACAGTGTTCAAAACTAAATTCGCAACCACCACTGTTACCTCTACAGTCTCCCAAGCAGATTATACGATGACAGAAGTGGGATATGTTACAGTTACTACATCTGTGACATCAGTCGTGCCGACCAGTGGAGGCTTCACGCCTATCGCTCAGCAATTGCGTGCATCGGCTCGCACAGCCATGTATTCAGGCATGCCCGTCAAAAAGCGCGACCTAGAAGAGCGACAAGCCCCAGGCACGATACCAGCATTCGTGATCTGCGATGTTCTATTGCAGACTACGAAGACCATATTCTCTACCACGACCGCAATGGTGACGAAAACGATTAAACCACCTGCCAATACAGTCACAGTCGTAAGTCCCACAAAGCCCGTTTCGCAACCATACAAGCCTATTCACACACTAACTCATGTCCCTCAGACATCCTCCCTAACCGGCACATTCACAACCACCGTCCCCGGAACCAACAACCCCACCTCAACAATCTTCACCTCCCTCTTCAAAACCTCGATCTTCACCATCACCGCCTTCGGCGGCTCAACAACCGTCACCACAGCTTTCCCCGTCACCACAACCTCTATAATCCCCTACTACGCCGCCTGCGACGGCGCACTCGCAAACGGAAACTACGTCGACACCGTCAACGATGTGGGAATCGGGAACGCGCAATGGGGCGTATCATCTTCCTCGCAACAACTTCAGGACCTTGGGACGCTGTCTGTGAGGGATTGTTGTGTTGCCGGACAAGCGAATTCTGCAGGAACGTATTGGGAAATTTCAAGTCAGAAATGTTGGGGTGTTCCGTTAGGGAATTTGCCTGGTGATGTTGGTGGAGGTTTCTGTTCGCCGGATATTACGAATGGGGATTTTAGGTTGCAGGTGGGAGAGAGGACGCCGAGGGTTGTGGTCAGTAATGGGGGTTGTGGGTTTGTTGAGATGAGGGAGGGGTGAGTGCGTGACCACCCATTCTCCTAATAGTAACTAGCAATGCACCGAGGCGAGGAAAGCAGGGAGAATTTTGAAGACAATGAGTAAAGTAAAGCGTGCGGTGTCCAATTCATGATCATTCGTAGTCATCCTCAATTCTAAAGCACGACGATAACAGACATCGAGCGATAGAGCAAAATCCGTGCCCCCATTCGCCAGCTACTCATTAAAAGTCACCTTCTCTTGATCTTTTCTTTTCGCCTCATATATATTACCTTCCTTCCCTCTCCCTTCTACAAATCAAATCGGCACAAAAGGCAAAATAATCCTACTCTTCCACTCCTCCCCTCCCACATGAATCCTATGTTCTCCTTTATTCCTCTCCCACTCGGGCCTCGGCTCACTCCAAGCCTTATACTCGGCAATACTAGGAAACTGACCTCCAATCTGCACACTCAAACTCTCTCCATCATCGAAATCCACACCCATTGCCCAAATCCCAATTTCGAGTTCCACAACATCTCCAGGTTTGATTTTCTCTTCTTTCTCGTGAGGATGAAATGGGAAATTCGGATGGATGCTTCGTTTGGGGTCGAAAGCTCGATGAGAGGCGCGGAGGACGCCAACGGAGCCGGTGTGGAGATTTGTGCTTTGGCGTTGGTGGGCGGGGATTTCCGAGATGGAGTTTACGGGGGCGGCGGAGAAGGGGAAGCAGAGGTGGAGGAGAGGTTCGCCGGTTGTGGAGAGTTTGCGGAGGTGGATGAAGACGTTGAGGTCGTTGTGTGTGGGGCAGGACATGTGTAGGACGGCTTTCGGAAGGCCGATGAGGCGGGTTTTGGTGGGGAAGGTGTGTGTGAATTCTGCGAAGGAGGCGGCGTCTTCGGAGTTGTAGGATAATGTGGAGGTGGTTGAGGAGGGGGTACTGTTGAGGGTGTTGTTGTAGAGGTAGAAGGTTTTGTAGTCTGTGTTTGGGATTGGGAAGTCGGGGTAGGGGATGTTGTCGATTGCGGGTCTGTCGCCGAATTGAAGTGCTGACCAACGCACTTTGGGAGTCTTTTTCTCGAAGTCGGTTGGTATGCCTTTGAGGAAGAGATCGAAGTACTCGTGTAATTCGGCATCGGCGTGATCGTCGCAGTACAGTTCGTACCATTCTTGATGACTCGACCAACGGATCCATTTCTTGTCGTGAGGGACCTCCATATAGCCTCGCACAGCACCCATGGTGTGAATGGAACTGAAATCGGAACCAGAGATGAAGACGGGGCACTTGATCTTCGTCATATCTGCCCTTTTGTCGTTCCAGTATGCATTTGCGACAGGGCTGCGTCGATACATCTCGGCAAAATCTTCGACGCCTGAATTACCTTTGATGATCTCACGAGTGATGAGGTCGAAGTTTGACATTGAGAACACGCCTCCTCGGCAGAATTGCTCGCGGAAGAGGTCACCACTACCTTCCCAAGGAGCAATGGCTGCGAGGGAAGGTGGTTGGAGCTGGGCCGTATGCCATTGAATGATGGCCAGTGCTGAATTGCCTGCCATACCCACTTTACCATTGCACCAAGGCTTCTTGGCCAGTGCTTCAATCACATCGTATGCATCTTCAGCATCTTGAGAGCCCATGATTGGTATTTGTCCATCGCTGTTGCCAGTACCTCTGCTGTCCACGCTGATGATCGCATAACCTCGCGGACACCACTTCTGCGGATCCAGCCCTTCGAATTTCTCGATACCAGATAGGTCCTCCTTCTTGACGCAGCATTGCCACACCGTCATGGGCAGCATGCTCAAAGCGCTGTACTTCTTGCCGTAGCAACTTCAGCCAATGATGGCAGGGACGGGTTCTTGCCAGTCTGAGGGCCTGTAAATATCTGCATACAGTCTGCAGCCATCTCGAACGACAATCTCGACATCGTGCTCGACGCGGACGTCGCTTTCTAGAGGTTTGGCGTTGTTGCCGTTCCAGCCTTTGGGAAGAAGTTCTGTCTTGCCTGGATGGAAGCCTTGATAGTTGTTTACTCCGATCTCGGGCTTGCCTATGGGCTTGTAGGCTATCTGTACTGGGACCGGCATTGCTGTGAATTATGACGGAGCAAGGACGAGATGTGAGAGAATTGTCCTCTTCGTCAAGAAAGGAAGAAGATGGTCTGGCAGGGAAGTGAAAGAGAAATCCGTAAACATTTTGACTTACTTGTGTTACTGTGTCAAGCTCAGCTATGCCCGCATCTACTGCCGATGCTGTTCATTGAGGTGTTGGCAGTGGCCGAGGGGACGCGTTCTGTGAAAGTGGACGTGTCGAGCAAGGGTGCTTCGAGTGGGGCGGCAAGAGCGTTGATTGGCAGTCCGCATTTTCCGGCCTCCACATCCACTTCATCCGATTGAAGTCACGACCTCCTCTTCACGCTACTCGCCACTTTCCGAGAAACATCTCGTGTCAGCTTGTGCCGACCCCATGGGGCAGCAGCAGCAGCTAGCTAAGGTGGGACAACGGTGTCGGTCGTGCGAGAGGACAGTATATGTACATTGGTGTCAGCAGTAGGTGAACGTGCATCTCTTCGCAGCAAACTCACCTTCACTACTCACACCAAACCAAAACAATGGCCCCTCACGCAGTAGATCCCATCCCAGACTCCGGCGTCGACCTCATCCAACACGACGGCACCAACTACGGCGACTGGCGCGATTAATTCCACAGAGATGGCTTCGCCATCGTCAAAAACGTCGTCAGCCAGGAAAAAGCAGCCTACTACCGCCAGAAACAAATCGACTGGCTCCAATCCTTCGGCCTAGGCTTCGACCCCAACGATGAATGCACCTGGACCCAAGACCACCTCCCCGTATCATTCAAAGGCGGCATGTACTTCTCCTACGCCTCCGCACACGAAAAATTCGTCTGGGAATCCCGCTTGGAGCCTAAAGTCCAAGAAGTATTCACAAAGCTTTGGGGAACAGATGAATTGCTTTCTTCATTTGACGGCATGAATATTACGTTGCCGAGACAGAAAGATCTCACATGGTCTCCGTGGCCGCATTGCGATCAGAGTCCTCATCGTAAGGGAATGCAGTGTGTGCAAGGATTGTTGAATTATCAACCAAATGGACCTAAAGATGGCGGATTGATCGTCATGAAAGGAAGCAGCAAGCTCTTTGATCAATTCTTCTCAGAGACGAGAGAACAAGATGATCATGAAGATAAGCCACCTGAGGAGGCTGATTTCAAGGACTTGTTCATTTTCAAAGAGGAAGACGTGCAATGGTTCAAAGACCATGGATGTGAAATGATCAAAGTGAACCTCGAGCCCGGAGACATGGTAAGCACTCACCACTTCTCCCTCGCTCCTACCAATTTAAACTAACCCAAACGTCCTTACAGGCCATCTGGGACAGCCGCACAATGCACTACGCCTGTTTCCCCGAAGGCGACCGCATCCGGCACGTCCAATACATTTGCCAAACCCCCGCCAAATTCGCAGAACCCGAAACTCTGAAGAAGAAAGCCGCACTGTTCAAAACTTGGCAAGGCACAACTCACTGGCCACATTGCAATATTCGCGAGACGGGACCTCCGATGAGGAATGGAAAAGAATGTCCTTTGAATCGACACGAGCCGTTGGAGAAGCCGGAGATTACGAAGAGGTTGTTGCAGTTGGCTGCTGTGGAGGCGTATTAGTTAGGTGTGCTGGGTGGAGGAAGTAGTGAAGTGGAAAGAAGAAGAGGAGAGGGATGGATTGGTGTTATTACTTGCTACCGCGCGAATGCGACCTTTCATTGAGATACCCAGATTTGGATAGTCAGACGAATAGTATGAGCCCTACGGCACATCACTCTCGTGACATGGTATCATGGTTCAAGGCATTTTCCTACACTGCGAAGATTTTGATGCACTCGCATCACCATAACACGAGAGAGATCTCGACCCGTCCTCATCATCAACCCGACGCATCCTACCAACCACGTCCTTACTACCACAACATTCAACGCCGATCCCCACCCTCCCCAGAACTGAGACTCTCTCACAGCCCTCCGACACCGATCAATGGTTACACGAAACTGACTTTCCCACACCCACGGATATCACAACAGTCGTCTATAGAAGCAGCAAAAAGTACCGACGCACAAAACCACACACATCCCGAGACGTTGTAAAACATTTGGCAAGAAACGTTGAAAGACGTTAATCAAGAGCACCGATTGCCACAAGAGAAGAGAAAAGGCCCGAATAGATGATGAGACATTTCAAGTCTTCCATTGCAGAACACAACATCACACAAAATTATCTACAAATCCGAATCAGAATCAATCAAGTTCAAGATCGCACCAGAAACTACTTTCAAAGCAATTTTTGCAAATCTCTAAACAATGTCAAAACAGACAAAACAACGCAGGAAGCTGTCAAAGCAAGCAAAAAGGTATAAGTTTTCATCGCCTCGTCGAAAATTCTCGTTTGCCTTCCAAAAGGTCGTTTCGTGAAAAATTGGCTCTCTGCCGTGTGCAACAGCTGGCGAGAAGGGGTGTTGGGGGCTGAGGTTGGGGTATCTGAGTCGTGAAAGGGGATGGTGATGATGATGTGCGCTAGCAAATACGATGATGATTGAATACTGATGAAGGATGAGAGCGATAAGCATGATGAAGATGTTGTCGGGTGTTGGTTGGTAGGGTATCTGAGGCTTCTGCTTGTGCTGTGTGCATAAAAATGTGTCGTTTGCGCGACGGGTTTATCTGTGGTCGTAGTCGCTAAGCCCAAATGCTTTCGCCCGCTTCGCTGTGCTGCAAATCGCTCTCATCCATATCATATCCCTTCATCATGAAAATGCTTTTTATCGCACATCTGTGTTGTTATTTGAGGTTGTTCATTTTTTATTCGCCAGTTTCGTATTTCTGCTCGACCAAGCAAGCCCACATGTGTAGTATCTTCTCTCCACATCAACAAGGAACAAATCGACGGACCAAAAGCGTCTTTACATAGAATTGAAGATCGTGAATCAACACTAGAGATATCCGTCTAGTGGTGGCGCTTGTGGCGGTGGATGTGCTCGTGGCGCTTGTGCTGGGCGTAGCCGGCTGGGGTTGCGGCGGCCTCGCCTGGAGCAGTGACGGTGACCATGGCTGTGACGTACACAACGTTGTCATCATCCTTCTCGTCCGCCTTGGGAGCCTCTGGCTTGGAGTAGCCGGCAGGCGTAGAAGCGGCTTGCTTGGTGGCCAAGGTAGTAGACTGGGTCTTCTGGGACTTGGAGCTTCCGTAGCTTGGAGGAGCCTCGTAGCTGGCTGGCGAGTCCTCCGAGGCACCACCAGCGGGAGTGCACTCGTTGGAGCAGACACCGAGAGGAGCTGGCTTCATCTTTTGCGCTGGGTTGTCGGTCGAGATTGGGTTGCAACCTGGAAGGTACTTGCCAGGGGAGTCAACGTTCTCCTTGAACTCCGGAGTGAGCTTGCAGTCGGTGTTCTTGGTGTCGAAACCCTGGAAGCTGGGGCAAGTGCCGACATCAGAGTTGCCGTAGTATGACTGCGGGCAGTCGTCGAAGAGCTTTGGAATCGCACCCTCGTCCCAGCCGTTGAAGAAATCGGCGTGGAGTCCGTAGCCAGTTGGGTCACCCTGGGACAGGGAGAAGGAGTTTGGCTTGATCTTGTCAGCGACCTTGGCCAGGTCGTAGAAGTTCTCCAAAAAGATGTGTGGGAGACGAGTTGGGTGGGAGCTTGGGCATGGGCCGGACTGAACATCGCCCTCTGGATAGGCCATGTGGCTGTTGTCGTTGACCTTTGGCATCTTGCCGTTCCAGCAGTGGGGGAAGTGGAGGGATCCAGCGAATCCAGGATATGAGTCGCAGTTGGACACATCTGCGGGGAATCCGGTCTTCTGGTCAACACCGTTGTTCTGGCCGCTCTTGCAGTGGCAGATCCATTCCGTGGTGAGCACTCGGCTGTCGTTGTTGGCTGCACGGCGAGTCTGGTCACCAGCGACCATGAAGAAGCCCTTGGGGAACTCGAAAGGCTCGGCCTTCTTGTCATTGGCGTTGCCGACATCGCGATAGTAGAGCTTGTGGCCTCCACTTGGAATGCGCACGTAACCGGAGCCGTCCTTGGCCTGTCCGAACAGCGAAGGCACCCAGTAGACACTCTTGTCTGCAGCGTTTCCAGCACCGGCCGCATTGCCAACAGTCGTGCACTTCGACTTTTGCAGGGACTCGTAAGTCATATCCGAAGCAGCGTTGCTGGCACCGAAGATCTGGTGAACGTGTGCGCTGATCTTTCCTGGGGTGACGATGGCATCGGCGCGCTCGACAAGATCGATGTCGCTACCTGGGCTGTACATGACGAACTGCGCAGCATGGGCGGTCGTCGCCAGCGCTGCCGCAGCAGCGTAAAGTGATCCCTTCATTGTCGTGGATTCGTGTCGATGTCGCTCGATGAATGTGGTTTGGCGAAAAGAATGGGCAGGGGCAATCAAGCCGCCTGTTAGTGAGCGTCGTGAATGTGAGCGCAAAAGTCAAAGGAGTGACTGTCGACCGTTGTCGAGGGAGGAAGTTGCTGGGCTTGCACGAAGGAAAAGAGAAAGGAAGACGGAAGCGGGCGCAGCAGCAGGGAAGGGTAGGAGGTAGCGTGAGTGCACCCGGCGACTCGATCGATGGGGGACGTGAAGCGAGCGGCAACAAAGCAACAATGGGCGGGTGCACAGGCGTTACCACACGCGCCGTCGCGACGGCAAATGGGGATCCTTATACGGCCAAGGCGCGCTATTCACGACAGCGGAGCACTTGGCGTTCGACGCTCGAATAGGGAGTCTCAGGGACATTGGGCCTAATCTGGGCTCCACCCCTGGTTTCACGATGCGGCGCGGCGTCGGTGCGCTGGCATCGATGACCCAGTCGGAGGGAGGGAGAGAAAGGCAAAGGGGCCAAGAGCGGGGATGAAAATTGAGCAGACGCGCATATGCAAACGCTCGCCGAGCCTCGACGTCGACGCTAAGGCAAGGTACCACCGTCTTCTGGACATATGATTGGCCAAAAGTCATCTTGCTCCTGACAAGGCTGCAGTTCTAGATGCTTGAGACGGCCTTTGACGCTTTGGTTCCTGTATGAGGTTGATCGCTTCTTCTGACGCTTTGAGCTGGGTGTCGCACTTGACGCGCGCAATTCTACACCTGAGCGTTCGCCGTCCGAGAGCAGTCTCTTCTCACCTCGGACTGTGGTGAGTCTGCGCGCCAGCAACGGCGCAGTGGTGGGGACATCACGTCAATGGCGTTGCCCAGAGGCGCCGATGTTTGGGATTTCATGGAAAGGAGAAGCCGAGTCAGCCGCAAGGAAATCGTAGATTGCCAAGAGTGCGGGCCGCGCCAGGCGAGTCGGACTTTCCACACGTGTCTGTCGCGCTGATCAGAACGTCGACGTCGACGCTGCCCCTCTACGATTGGTGCTACGTTTTATACGACTCTCTGTCCACCTCACCGCTGAAGGCCCCAAACTCATGCCTCCAACTGCCATAGGCGGGAGCACGAATAATGCACCGCGCGCAACGACACGTCTCTCCCTCCGGCAGCTATTCCGGGATTCCGCCGCGTCGCACCACCTCTCCCGATGCATGATCCTTCAGCGACAAGACCCGAGAGCACATTGGCATCCACGGCATCTCACGTGTTGTCAGCTGTGACGCGGATGCCGTGTGCTGTTCGCTCTGCAATCACGGTGCTGCCACGCAACTTGACGCAGTTGGCATGCACAGGTACTTAGGGACGACTAGGAACCGACATTCGGCCGCCAGCGCCAAGCGACAATGCTAGCATCTGATCCCCAACAGAACCAGCACCAGTACGCCATGGCCGCGTGGCGACATCACACCAAGGCCCCATTCTCCGTAGAACGCTGACGGTCGAGACCCCGATGCCTGTCATCCCCAGAATCGTGTCTACTGTCGAACAAACCAGCGAAATGAGAGAAATGAATCCTCACTTCGGCGCTTTGTTCTACCAAATCTCAACCCGGAGCGAATAATTTCACGCCAGAGCGCCAAGTTCATGCATCAATTCGCACAATGAGCGAATGAGCTGCGGCAAATTTTTGCGCATTTCGTTGGGATAATTGTCCTCCAAGACAGCGACTCCCACCTGCATGATCGCCTGCGCGTGCCGAAGGTCGCAGCACTGCTGCCGTTGTCGACTCCGATACGTTTCATCGTGACTTTTGCCTCTGCCAACTTGGCGGATCCGCAAACAAGGACGACCCGTCCCCATCAGCAGGAAAGCGTCAATGGCGGCATTATTTTCCTCGTCGAGGTACACGGGAGTTGCATTTTCCCTCTCTTGCTGCTCTCGTAGCGAGCTTCCAGGGTTCGGCGTGCTGTTCCTCGTTCGCCTCGCGAGATCGCGCTGCATCATTCCATAAGCCCAGAGAACCATGACCGCATGGTAGATAATAAATACATCAGCTCCGCGTAATTGATACGGCGGCACTTCTCTTGCCAGCCGAATCACTTGCGCAGCATGGCAGATCGCTGTCCGCGCTCGCTTGCTTTGGCTCCAGCTCTGAAGCTCTTGATATGCACGATGTGCTTCAATCTCACCGCACTTGCCTGCGAACCGAGTCACGTCGTCCGGGTTGACGTGCATGCTCATCATGAGAAATTCGTTGAGCAGCCGCGTTACGGCGGATGTGTCTTGAATGCTGGATCGGATCACTTGCAGCATGTGATATCTGGTGTTTGGTCAGCTCTGATGCAGGGTTTCCATGCTCGTGCGGACTCACAACTGCTGGTGCCGCGTCTGCAGCCATAGTTTCCCGGACGGATCCGAGTTGGAAGCCAAAGGACTGTTTACCACACTCGACTGCTGGAAATGCTCCCAAGTCTGTGCTGCCAAGCCATGCAAATGCGCAGCTCGAGCAACGGACACATCGACATCATCCGGCAGACATCGCAGTAGTTCGCCATCAGCTAGCAAATCTCTCAGCGACAGATTGGCATGTTTTGCATCCCGAGTGGTTTTCTCCAAGCCTGCCATGTGCCAGGTCTCTGCTGTGGGCGCCAACCACTGATCCCTACTTGCAGGGAGAGGCAGTGTCATCTCGGCGTACGAGATCAATGGATTCCGTACCTTGGTGATGGTCGTCAAGATGTCGTGTTCGAAGAGATGATGGACCAGTCGCTTGTACGATTCCTGTTTGGCCCAGTGCTTCCAATTGCTTTCGAGCGAGTTGTCCTCGTCTGCTCGGGCGTCTTGATTCGAGGTGTACGCTACTCGATCGAACTTCCCAGCTCTTCGTAATGCGGTCACCAGTGGTTGCAGACTGTGTTCTGCAATCTCCATCTTGCGCTTGTAACCACAAAAAGCAGTGACATCAATCCACATCATACAGGCTTGCAAATATTCGAGATCTCGAATGACACTGTTATCGTCTTCGACAAGCCGATTTAGTGCCACTCGGACAATTTCGAAAAGTATCAGGCCTGTCTTGGAAACAGAAGGTATGCTGTGATTTTCTATCAGCCTCGCTCAATATGTTGCCGTGTCTGCAATACTCACCCAAAGCAAACACAACCAGCCGCAATCAACGCAGTCAACAGTTCCGGTCTCGCAGATTCAGCGTCCACTGTCCAGGGATGGATCCACGCATCCGTTTCCATCCTTTTCGCAAGCCCGACCCTCAGCAATAGATTCAAACACTTGACGCTTGGAAACCTCGGTATCGAAACGTGCGATTTGGCAGCCTTGAGTACCATCTGGAAAATCTTATCTCGGCTGTGAGTCGACAGTTCGCTGCGCATATGGAGTGATGGCAAGAACGGCTGATGAGGACTTGCACTCATGTCAATTTCAGACTCGTCCAGAGGCAGTGAGCGGTGTTCACTAAACGCGTGAGAATTCGCTTCTGGTTTCCAGAGCCAAGGTGAGCGTTGGAATAGAGCATGGCGCTGACGAGCACTGTCTGCAGCAGCTTGATCTTGAGATACGTTTTCCGGCTGCTCTGTATTCGATGTCTCGTTCTGTTCTTGAGGCATGGGCAACATGTTTGTGATCTCGAAGGCTTCGTCGATGGTAGGCGTGAAGTCGACTCCGAAGATGTCCATGTTGTCGCCCAGCCAATCTTGTTCAGGCATGTGATTAAAGATGTCCAGCGGCAGATTCATGGAATCTGATGCCACGAAGTCTGGTGCCATGATCTGGTCGAAGAAGGTCGGAAATGTCATGTCGGGCAAGTGCCATTGACTATCGTCTTGCAGTTGTGGCAACGAGGCCGCGCTGCCCAGAGTCGCTGGATTCCCTGAAGACGATAGACCAGCAAAGCCATTATTGCTCGCACTATCCGGTGGCGAAGGCAACGTGATGGACTCCTTTCCTTGCTGTTGCTCCTGAGTTTCTCCTGCTGCCACCACAGAAGCTGCCTTTACTGTTCGATCACGATCAACCGAATCAGTTCTGCAGTCGATCTTACGCTTTTTGCATCTTTGGCAAGGTCTCGAATTGTCACTTACAAAATAATTAGCATTCTCATCAATCAAGTTCTCAAGAAGGAGGATGGGTCACTCACCATTTCAATTTCGAAATCACACAAGGATCACAAGCCTTAATCGCCCGCTCATTCGATCGATCAGGTCCCGTTTTTCCACTCGCAGCATTTTTCGCATGAGTAGCTTGGTGGCGCAACAGCAAATCTCTTCGATTGAAACCTCGAGGACAATCGGTGCATTTGAAACTGCGTTCGTTGCGGTCTACAGTAACAGAATATCAGTCTCTATCTTACACGAGATTGAGGTCCAGCCATCAATGACCACGACGACTACGCAACATCAAATGAGGTGGGGAGTAGGATAAGAAATCTACTAACGTGAATCTAAATGCCTATGCAAATGGTCCGCTCTCTCATAACTCTTGTTACACAATTGACAGACATGTGGGGCTGATTTCGGCGATTCGAGGCTTTTGGGAGGGCTGGCCGCCATGCTGACCATCGAACAGCAAAAGAGAGGACAAACGAAGCTTGCGATCGAAGGGACGGATTGTGGGCATGTATACAGTACTCTAGTGAAGAGGCGGGCGGAAATGTGGGGTGCAGCCTCCTCCAGACCCTTTCCCCATCCACTGTTCCCACCGGCTCGCGCACTAGTGGCTAGATCCACTATTTGGAGCGGGGTACAGCATGTCGAAGCGAAGAAGCGAACGAATGTTCGTGTCACTGGTTCTTTCCTACTACGAGGCTTACCCAAGCGGTGTTCGAAGGTGGGTGATGGGTTCGAAGGAATCTCGTTGCGACTGCTGTGGTGCAGTGGCTCTCGGGGTATTGTGGAGTCGAACTTGGTGATCTGGTGGTCTTGATTGAACACGAGAAAGTGTAGACTGTTGCCGCAGAGGTCGCAGGACGTACATGCGGGTATGCTTTGCCGTAGCGAACTGCCATGAAATGTCAAGTTGCGAAGTGCAGCAAACCATGGCTGAGTTGAAGTATTGGCATGTATTGGCAGTTTAGTCCGCCGAAGCCGAAGTCCTCTCTTCCCCACCCCTCCTCCTGATAGGTATCTCAGAATCGGTTGCGGGCAATACTAGCAAAGGAGATGTTGACACGCCGATAGTGGTAGAGCAGGTGCTTGGGATGGCCACGCGGTCCCCACGTTGTGGCTTCGTTGCAGTCTGCGCTATATTATTAGAGCACATCTCTCATGGTCCAGGCCAGATTCAGGCCTAGGAGTCACAAACATTCGACATCTAGTACTGAAGCAACTGATCAGTCGCCATGGCGGAAAAGAAGCTCGAGCCCACCATCGATCGTCTCGAAGATGTCGAGAGCGAGGTTCTCAAGAATGTTCAGACTTCGGATACTATGGGAACGGTCACCATCAACGATGCCAAAGACGTCTTGTTGGTGCCGACTCCGAGTAGAGATCCGAGAGGTATCGTCTTCGCTTCTTGATACAACAGTCGTTATGCTGATCCTTCCCAGATCCATTGAATATGCCCACGTGGAGGAAGATCGTGTTCATCGTTCTGCTGTCGATGTGTGTCAGAATTTAGCATCCACGACTCCTTTTCCATCCACTAATATGTTGATAGTCAGCTCCGTCGGATTGAGCATGGTAGCTGGCTTTGGTGGCTTGCTCACTTTCTACATCCCAACTTATGCTGAGCGTAAGCAATGCGTCCACTCTCACTGCGGAGCTTCGGACTGACAATCCGCAGATGGCGCATCATACGCCGACATCACAGCCCTCATGACATATCCAACGATGTTCATGGGCGTTGGGAACCTCATTTTAATGCCACTCGCGATGGCAATTGGTCGTCGCCCAATCTATCTCCTCTCTTGCATCATTCTCGTTGCGGCAGGCATTGGCGCAGCCTACGTCGAGACCTACGAACAGCATCTCGGAGTCCGAATGATACTAGGATTCGCCGCTGGTCAGAGTGAGGCTCTAGTGCCCATGATGATCCAGGAAATCCACTTCCTACACGAACGTAGTACATTCCTGATGTGGCAGTCCGCGATCCAAACCATCATCAGCGCAGTATACACACTTTTCGCCTCGCCGATCGCAGGTGCAATCGGGCCGGGAAATTGGTACATACTCGGAGGTGGGCTCTCCGCAGCAGTCTTCTTGGCTTTCATTTTCTTCGTACCTGAGACCAGGTACAATCGTTCGCTTGCGGCGTATGGACAAGCCACCAAAGAGGATATCGAGACCAACCCAGAGCTGGCCGTTGAGGCAAAAGCGATTCGATTGTCAGAGCGACCGGCCTTTGACCTGGATAGATATGCTCCCAGGACACTCTGGTCCGACATGCTAGTCTTTGTTGGCGAGCCAGATTGGAAGGAAGGCTGGTATACTTTCTTCGTAAGTACAGTGCGTACGCTCTAGTTCCCCCAGTTTACTTACCTCCTGCAGCACACCTTCCAAATCATGCTCTTTCCAAACGTCTTTTGGGCCTTCTGCCTCAACGGTCTGACTCTAGGCGTCAACATCGCGTTAGGCACCACCTATGGCACCATTGTGACAAGTCCACCTTACAACTGGCCGGATAGGTCAGCTTCATACGTGACACCGGGACAGATTATCACCGCACTCGTAGCTTTGCCTCTCCTGGGCTATGGCTCTGACCGTGTGCTCAAGTGGCGTGCTCGACGCAACGGCGGGGTTCACGAGCCAGAGAATCGACTCCTCTTGCTTTGGATCCCCATTCTCATCGGCGTTGTAGCTTGTGTCATCTATGGACAAGCGGCCCAGCATCCTGAAAAGTACCACTGGTTCGCAATTGCTTGGGCATACGCGGCGTACTATTTCGCATTCATCGGAAGTAACATTGCAGGCATTACTTACCTCCTCGACTCGTACCTCGTACCCAGCAAGAGCTGCTCCCGTGCTGGTTGTCATCACGGCTATGCGTAGATTTGTGTCCTTTGGCACCAGCTACGGAGTGGCCAGGTTCATTGACACTGCTGGGTATGATGGCTCGTTTGGTGCTTATGCCGGCTTGACAGCCGGAATTGGGTTGTTAGGAATCCCGGTGTTCATCTATGGGAAGAGGATCCGGCAGTACACAGGCCGCTGGGCGACCAAGAAGTCCACTGGAAGGCCCTCGATGGCACATTAATGGATTCAGGCGACTTGAGCTACAGATGCAATACTGTCATGTTAGCATTGCGCGATTTCGCGCCCGATTGAAAGCAGAAAGGTGAAATGGTTATGTATGAGTCTAGATGAGCGAAGTTCGAATCATCATGCGCTGTGTTGCACTGAAGCTGAGAGTCATATCGTCCGTGCCGATTGCGGTGGCAGTAAGCGGTGGAAGACGACCGATCCAGTGGTATTGTCATGGCGTGATCAAGATCGTTACACATTGGGAAAAGCAGATGGTTCTTGCAACATCTGGTCCCAGAACATCCAGTCCAAATCATTATTGACATTGTCAAGCGCTCCGTAGGTCGCAAAGCCCCATGGCATGTTGCCGTTGATGTAATTGCTGACAGGAATTTCCGGAAGTGGCTGAGGAGCCACATTGACACTGTTCGCCGGCAGGCTGGGCGTCTGCGTGGTACTAGAATGCCGTGACATTTCTTTCCTGGACATAACCTTTCTTAGTTCTGTGATGAAAGAGGGTTCTGGAATAGGTGATGGCCTCTGTTTCTGTGTTGCGTCCCAAGACCTCACGGTGAGTCTGCCAAGCGCAAGGTCGATAGACCGATGCCCAGGGTTGAGCTCCGGCTGACTCAGATCAGATCTTTTACCAGCGATAAGTTCAGGGTGGCATTTGTAGATATGAGTCGCTTTGGCCCACACCTCTTCGCGATCGAGTACTGTATCTTCCCTGCGAACCTCGTTGAGCATCCAAATCAGGGGATCCCACTGAAAGAAGCTCTTCATATGCCAGTCAAACCGCTGAAGAGAAGCGTTCTCGTGAACGGCAATATCCAGGTCCAGGATTTTGCTCGCAAGGGTGTATAACGATCTGCGCTCATCAGGAGTCGAGCCGTGATTCTTGGCCATGCCTAGCTTGACCCGGAGACGCCCAGACTGGAGAGCGCCACGACACATCGCCATCGCTACCAAAAGTAGTCAGTAGGTGGTACGAAGATGTCTAAGACAAGCCTCTTGCGCGTTGAAGATGCCTCATAGCAAATACTCACCCATACAATGGACCGGAATTCCGAAGTCGCAGTAGCGAATATATTTCTCCTCCATATGCCGCTCCACGTCAGAAAGAGCATTCTGAATTGCAGCTTGATCTTCGGCTTCCCATAGTTTCGACCAGAGACCTAGTTGTGGTTTCACTTTCTGGTGGAATTTGCCGATCTCTGTCCTGGCCAAAACGAAAATTATGTCAGTAGCACCCTGCCTTTCAACAGGCGGAGTCTCCATTCCGGGCCAAATATCTTCGTCATTGATGTTCAAAGGTCTGTGGCGGATAAGCACAACGTCAAAGCACGAGCTTTGAAAATCACTCACTGTTTCGTGTCCCATGAATCTGCGGAAATAGCAATTCCCGTTCCGGATAGCTGTCCAGACATACCATCGAGCGGGAGCAGTTGCCAAAACACTCTACGTCGCATCTGCACGTCAAAAGGATTAAGACCCATCTCCTCGCCATCTCTGTGCAAGCCCATTCGCTGACCTATTCGCACTGCAATGCCTGTCAAAATCCAGAAAGTGTGCGGGTCATACCGATTGCGCATCGGCAATAGAAACAGCACAAATGCTTGCAGCACGGCCAGCTCTGTAGTTCGCAGGAAGTGCGCCGCAACCAGCGCCTGTCTCGTTGCGTTGTGGTATCGCCTCTGCATCACGACCCATGACTCGCCGAATGTGTCTTCGCACTCCCGCTCAGATGTCGACGCGACGGCAAAGTGGTATATTGCAAATAGAAGACACTCGGTGACTCTGTCAATAGCGCTAGGATCCGCAGCTGCTTTCTCGACCATTGCTTTGCCAGTAGGCACATGCACAAGCTTGCAAATGGGGTCGACATTCCTCACGTAGAGCTTCCAGAGCTTTACAGCTGTCTCGTAGCTGGGATGCGCGTCCAGCAGATTTTGAGATGGTGTTGTTGGTCCGAAGAAGGCAGCCGAAGCCGGGTCCAAGGGCTCGGCTGATGCGGGCGTGTCTTCATGCTCGTCGTAGTCGTCTTCCCCTTCGTCAGAAGAAAGGCCCATATGATCGGCCAGGTTGCGCCAAATATTGCTATCGATATATCTGGTCTTGCCCCGACCCTGGACCAACTTTCCAGTCTTGTGGAGTCCTTGGGGAGCAGGACCGAACAGGGTCATGGGACTCCCAGATGCGCTGTTCTGCCGTGACTTGCTCGTCTCCGTCGTACTCGACGTGCTACCTTCATCCTTCGGAATGATACCGTGTTCGTGGAGAAGCTTTTCATATCTGTCAAGCCGATCCTGTAGATCTTCTACTGGTTTCCGCTTCTTTTTCCGAGGTGCTGGCTCCAGATACTGGCATTCTACTCGACTTTTGCGGCAGGCTGAACATGTACCGGGGAGTTTGTCACACTTCACTTTCCTTTTAGCACAGGTTGTGCAACTGAATGGCATGAGTTGGACATCTTTGCCGCTGTTGTCTTGTCGCACCGGAATGGCAGCCGCTGGCGCAAGAGGGACGAGGCGAGGAGTTGATTGTGTCTTATCCGTGGAGGGTGCCTGCCCTTGAGTCACCAGATACGACATGTTGGGTTGGACTTGAGTTTGGCAAGGGGGACGAAGCTTCTTGCCAAGCGATTTCACAAATCCGATGCCGACATCGATCCTTCTCGGACAATCATTGCCGATTGATGGAGAAGTATGCTATGCTGAAAACTGCGATCATATCAATATCTTCAAACAGAGACGGCTGCCACCTCGCAGCATCTGAATCAACACGTTCCTTCGAAGGATTGGAGACTTCCATCAATCATTGGCTCTCCTCACTTCACCTCCGGTCTCGGTCCCGGCCCGCGTTGGCACGTGCTCGCGGGCTCGAACAGACGATGATGCTGACACAGGAAGCTCCACGAACCATGAACGCGTCGCTGACATCAACATGATGTGAGGTCCTCGAATCGCGATGTCTTTGGTAACCATATATGCACGCTGTCATAGTGCGGCAGTGGTAGGTCTTCCTTCAAAATGCTCTGCTCTCGCGTAAGTACACGCCTACTACAGCATTCGCGTCCAATCCTACGAACTACAGCATTACGCCCATTCTCAGCAACCACAGCAATCATGGGTAAAGATTCAAAGGTCTCGAAGAACCCACCTAAGCATGAGCTGGTGTACTTTGAGGGGCTGGCGTCCAGGAAGCGGGAGTTTGGACAGTTCAGAAAGGTCCTGCATACAGGCCTCTATTCCCAGATCGTAACGATGGAGATCCCAGTGGGAGGTGACATTGGGGACGAAGTGCACACTGTCGACCAAGTCCTACTCTTCACAAGCGGTGAAGGGAAGGCCACTGTGGCTGGGAAAGACCAAGTATGTCGTAGCTCACCTCCAGTGGTAGGCGGCCTGCTGACGAGTAGCCAGAACGTGAAAGCATCCGATGTCGTCGTGGTACCAGCAGGCACCCAGCATCAATTCATCAACACCTCCAAAACCCAGCCGTTGGAGCTCGTCACGATCTACAGCCCCGCCGAGCACGATCCTCAGACTGTACACAAGACGAAAGAGGAGGGCGACGAGGAGGAAGAAAGTGGCAAGGACGAGGCACCAAAGTGGAGCCAGCAGTCCAAGGACAGCAATGAGAAGAATGGTCAGGTCAAGGAAAGTGGAGGTCCGTATGAGAATGGAGATGATGGCAGACACCAGAAGTCCTGAACAGCTACTGTAGGTAGTGACAATCAATGAAAGACAATTTCAACTTCAGCCTTTTGGGCGCTCATCACTCGCAATCAGCATTGTATGTCGGGAAAGAGAATCAGTAGTGAGAGGCAAGGAATGGATTCATCATCTATCTACCACAATAGTCGCCAGAGCGAGCGTTCGAACACCATCTTTGCCCAAAACCATCCAAGTAAAACACCAACCGAGAAGCCAAGCATGCGTGGATACGTAAGGAAATCATTGTCAGTGGCTGCCAGCAGAAGTGCGCAGAGCTTGACACAGCCATGTCAGTGGCTGGCCTCTTTCGATGAAGAGGACCTGGAGAAAGAGTGTCGATCAAAGGAGTGCAAGAAGTGAATGTCGCACGATAGAGTATGTTGAAAACAGTCGAGAGAAGTGGAAGCAGTCAGTCGAAAGAAGGAGAAGCAGCCAGTCGAAAGAAGACGAAGCAGCCAGTCGAGAGAAGTGCAAGGAGTCAGTCGAAAGAAGAGGAAGCAGTGCAACCTTGGAAGCTCAAGAGTTGGAGTCAATCCCTGATCTTGATGTACCCTTACAAGAAGTAAAGCGTGTCCGCAACTTCCGCATGGACTGGGAAAAGGACAGGCTTGCCGCTCACGAGCTTGACATGCAACTTCGCACGCTTGGCAACAGCGTGAGCAAGATGAGTGACAACAGGATACTTCTGGTCATTGAGGTCAAGAAGATGATCTTTCCAAAGATGACCGATTCGCTCCATTTCGGCTGCGGTCAGAGGCTCTTGCTTCTTTGAGTCTTGCTCGACGACCGGGCCTTGGAAGATCTCCGGAGCAATGTGGATTTCGAAGTCGGATGTGCGCACATGCCTCTTTCGCGCTGGTGTGTCGTTGTCTGTAAGAGACAAGGATAACCCATCTGAGGAAGATCCTGTGGAGACTTTGCGCATGGTCTCTGGATTGCTTGGGATTCGACGTTCGGAAAGAGGTGAGGGAGTCTTGGCTGGGGAATTGCCTGTAGGAGACAGAGGAGGTCCGAATGGGTCAGACCCTGTGGAGATCTTGCGCATGGTCTCTGGGTTGCTTGGAGTTCTGCGTTCAGGAACAGGCTTCTTGGAAGATGGGAAGGTAGCTATGGTTGGTACAAGACTCGGAATCTCGTTCTCCTTGTTGCGAATTGCACGGCTCCTCAGGTGCCGAGTTTGGGGCTTCAGGCCAGGAGGGAACTTTGGTGAGATGACGATTGGCGTGGATTTCTGTTCTTGTCCACTTGCGACCAGGCTTTCAGCAGAGTCGTGGCGACTTGGTGGCTTCGATTCGATGGCAAATTCGGTTCCATCAAGACGGTGACCAGTCAAGATCATGCCGATGGCAGTGGTCTGGAGCTTTGTACGATCGTTCTGGGTGTGCTGAGGACGGTGAACACGGAAGAAGCGAGTGCTTCCATCGCTCCGAATCTCAGCATCTGTCAGTACAAGCGTTTTTAGGTTTGACACTTTGCTGGCGTCCTTCTGGCTGATCAAAGTGTCGGCCGCGGCATTGTCGAGAATGAGGTGTGAAAATTGCCCGCCATGAGCCATATGCGCTTGCGCAGCGTCTTGGATTTTGTCAGATTCCTTCTTGAGCTCGCCAGGTCTCTGCTCAACGACGTAGCCAGAGCGGATGATGGTAATCTGGGTCAGTTCTGTGCCGTCCGAGCCGAATTTGAATCTGTTGTCCAGGAATTCCGACAATTGGGCGGCAAGGTCGTATTGGTCCATGTCCTCTGTGCGAACGAGCTCTCTAGATGTGCGGTACCCACTGCTGGACAATGCATCCTTCGCAGCAATGGCCACAAGATAGCCAGAGGGCGATTCGTTTTGCAAAGCGATCTCTTCGATGTGGATGGCGATCTCAAGCTTCGAGGCTCCTTTCTTGGCCGAGCCCTTTGGAAGGTGGCGAGTCGACATGCGACGAACGAGTTCGCCAGTGGCTCCTTGAACTCCCTTCTTTTGCAGATGCTTGGCTGTCAAAAAGTAGGCTCCCATGCCGACCTCGATATCAAAGATGCGCTTCAGATTTTCGTAGGCGGCAAATTTGTTGAACTTGTCACTGCTTTCACCGAGAAGAACGACGGCAATGAGGTTCTGGCCGGATGTGGCATGATCTTTTGCCATCTTCTTGATTTCAGCAGTCCAGTTGCTCTCTGATGAGCTGAGAAGCAGCGTGAACGATTCCCAGCTTGCGGAGCCCAGATCCTTAACAGTTGGAATGTTGACAACGCATTTCCGGAACTCTTCCAAAGCACCTTCTGGAGGCGAGTCGTCCTTGAATTGGACGAAGCAAACCTTGACTTTCTTGCCGAAAGGACCCTGGAAGACTTTTTCCAGCGCGCTCTTGCGGGAGTCCTTGTCCTGTGTGCCCACATTGACACTGCTGATGGCATACGCAGTCTGTTCAAGGGTGGTCGAGCCAGTGCTGGTCTGCTGCCCGTCCAGCTGAGTACGGATGGCATTGGTGATAGGTTTGGCGAATGTCTGACCGGGTAGCAAAATGCACTTTTCGGGAGGCATGAATCTTGGATATGCTTCAGTACCGACATTCAGGCAAGGCAAGTCGGGTTCGTCGTGACCTTGAGGCAGCCAAGCCGAATACTTCTTTTCATCGAGAACATCTTTGACCAAGGTGGTTTCGACTTTGGCGATGGGTTTTGTCTGCCATTCTCCCTTGACCAGGAATTTGGCACGCTTGCCCTTGAGAGCTTTGTTGAATTTCTTGTTGTCGTGAGGCAGGTCGAGTTTTCTGCCGTTGCCGAAGCACTCTAGCATGAATGATGATACGGTCTGCTCATGCTTGAAGAAGAGCTTGGAAGATGCGCTCTCGTAGAGCAGTGGCGTGGTTCCGCTGATTGAGGCGAGTCGGCGTTCCTTTCCGTTCACAAGTTGCAAGCCTTCGATCAGAGTCGCAGGATCGTTCTCGATGTCGAAAGATCCGTTGGCGCCAATGTACTCCTGCTCGAGCAGCGCACGCAGAACATCCTTGCGAAGCTCATGCTCTATTGGGAGCGTCGTTGGGCCGTTGCCAGTCGTGAGTTCCGGCAATGTGAAAGTCGAGCTAGTCGTTGCTTCGATTGGAATGTGGTATGCGTGGATGTCGCTCTCAGGCTTTCCGAGACTTCTCGCAAAATCACATGACAGTTTTTCCAGGTCATCATGAGCGAGTTGTGGGTGGAATTGGTTGTTGCAGTTGTAGAACTTGACGCCGGTCCAATGCCAGCGCAGACCGGATTCATCCATCTCAGACTTGGAATTCCAGACTCTGCTCATCTTGACCTTTTCGTTTGAAGGGTCGAAGATGCTGTTATTGATAGCCTGGTCCAGTTCGTCCTCATCAATTTTGCCTTTGCCTCTATGCACAACGACTACTGCGCTGTAATTCCCGCTGTTAAGTCGAGCTGTGACTGGCGCGCCGGAGTTTGGACCAGATTTCTCAACTTTGACCAAGAAACTGTGCTTGTTCACAATAGTGTATGAGGCAAGTCCGCAGTCGTTGAGAAGCTTGTCCACGGCCTTCTGCTCGATGATCTTCTTTTCCGTATCCGACTTGAGAGCATGGGGAAATTTGTCCTTAGAGATGGCGACGGAGCAATAGACATACTCGTCTTCGATGCCAATGTTGGTTGGGGCAAAGTGTTTGGCAGTGGAGCTGCTCAACTTGACCTCGGATACTGTGATGTTGTCGAAACCTCGAGCGGTGTCGTGTGGAACATTGTCAGTCATGATGGTGGATTTGTGCTGAGGGGAATTGGTCGTGATTGGTATCTTGCGTTGGTGTTGAACGATTGCAAATTCTGTGTCTTGTCGAATGTGGCTGCTGAAAGTGGTTCAGCGAGGAGAAAACGAGGCAGTCTTCAGAATGCACGAGCTTGTAAGATAGAAGACGAATCAGTGAGAGATTTGCAGTCTGATATACTCAAGTTGTCAATGAAAGTCTTGCTTGCCTCTGAGTGCATTGAAGCTGAGAATCACTCAAAGAGAGCTTTTGTGACGGAACCGCTTAGAATAGTCGATGCTTGTCGATGCATTGCTGTAATCAACGACATTTCTTTGATGTACCATAATCCGCTATGAACGTTAAAGCTTGCTCAGGGTTTGCCAGCGTCGCGACAAATAATTGCTTCGGAGAAGGGTCGAGTATGAAAGCGAAAGAAGTTTGCAAGGTGGGAGTGCGATCGAGTTCATGCTATGCGCTCGCCCGTATCTGGCGTTGCTCAATCCAGTCTTTGACTCCCTTGTAATGACAATTGTAATCCATGAACTCATCGGGGCGCATCTTTATCTCTTTGCTACCCGCATCTGTCGCAGGCTTTGCCGCTTCTCGGCTGTACTTCTGGATCAAACTGGCTCTCTCGTAACGTGATTCAAAAACCTGCTGTAGAACTTTCTGAACTTGCTCTTTGCTTGGTGCCACCGTGATGTCTGCGAAGAAAGCACCCAAGGCTTCCGCGTCTTCCACGCTTTGACTTGCACCCTGTCCTTGAGTTGGAAGCATAGCATGTGCTGCATCGCCGATCAATATGAATCTGCCTCTCGTCCAAGTCTTCAATGGATCAATGTCTCGTAGCTGCCACAGTCCAATGTCCTTAGCCAACCTGAAAGGCTCTTTGACCCAGTCAGGAAAGTCCTTGTATGTCTCGAGCATCTTGTTGAGGTCACCTCGTGATACCCAAGACTGTTTCACATTCGGATCTTCATTCATTTTCTCGTCCGGGACTAAACCAACTATGCTGTAGATTGTGCCATCCCGAGCAGTGCCCATGATCAAACGACACGAGTGGGCCATGACCATTGATGTGAAAGCCTCGCGTGGATCGATGTTGCTGCAGAAGCCTTTCGCATGCTCTTCCAGGATATCGTTGGGGACTATAATCCGATAAGCGGATAAACCTGTTGGAACAGGAGATATGGTCTCGCCCAGTACAAATGATCGCATCGTGCTGTGAATGCCATCAGCTGCGATGACTACATCCGCTTGAAGCTTTTCGCCAGATTCGAGCTGGACCATTCCGGCATCACAATCGCAACTGACGACTTTACTGGAGACTTTTATCGTAGCAGGCGGCCCAGGTCTTGTGGTTGAGGTAGCGGCCATTTTCAGACATTCGTGGAGATCTTGACGGTGGTACATCATTCGCTCTGCATCGTATTTCCCTTCCTTGAGTGGAATCTCATTCACTTTTGTCCCTTCGGTGTTGTACACTCTGAAGCCATGATCAATCATGCCGCGAGCAATAGCAAGCTCTTCTGCCGATAGCTTCCACTGTTGGGCAAGAATGCGACTTGCATTCGGTTGGAGGGAGATTGTTGCACCAATCTCTGCATGTAGACGCGATTGTTCAAGTATTGTGACCTGACGATTTGGTGCTCGGAGGGCTATTGCCGCTGACAGCCTGGTCAGAAGAATCAGCACAACACGGCGTGGAGTTTGATAGAAAGAGCTTACCCGGCGATACCGCCTCCGACAATGAGAATGGTCAGGGATTGCGTTGACGATGCCATTCTGTATGTGTGCGGGCATCAAAGGAAAGCTCAGACAAATTGTAAGAGGAACCACCTTGTCCAATGCAGTATGCATAATCCCTAATGACTGTCAGGCAGTGAACTACTTCCTTGACCACTAGCGGCCGGTCGCCCATGTGTTTATTCCCCATCCTTGTCCACTTCGGTGATCTGGACTGCAACCGCCAAGGTCCAACTACGAGATGTCCGCTTTCCGAAGCTCGGATTGTGGGCACGCCACGGATTCGCATGAAATTACCAGAATAGCTATCCGCGCAGCGATGATTGAGATCGGCTCTCGTGGGCTCAGTGTGGGCGGCGATGGGTTCAGGATCACCTGTCGGTTAGTGCATCTTCATGTTCTCTTATATCGGCTTAGTTCAAGTGCCTGGCCGACCAAGAGCGATAACCCCAGAAACCAGGTGATGCTAAGTGCTAATTGCAAAATGTCAGCCACTATCACAGAGACTGTTACGCCTCTAAAAGTCGTGGCCACCAGCCAGGCGTTGAAGGTCGACGGAACAGACCCCAAGTATGGGGATTGGAGAGACGACTTGGTCCGTGACGGATTTGCAGTGATCAAAGGGGCAATTCCGAAGGAGCGAGCAGAGAAGTATGCCGATGCCATGTTCGGCTGGCTCGAAGGCTTGTGAGTTTTCCAACTGCGGAGAATTGTTGTTTTGGGGTTGACAGAAAGACAGCAATCTCGGCTTTGACAGGAACGATCTCTCTACCGTTCACAAAGACAAGCTGCCGCACATCACCGAAAAGGGCATGTGTCTCCAATACGCTGTCACGCACGAAGACTTCGCGTGGGCCATTCGCGGCGAGCCAGGAGTCGTTGGAGCCTTTGAGAAGGTCTACGATACCGAGGACCTGATCGTATCATTCGATGCCATCAATTTCAGCTTTCCAAAGTGAGTTGCAATGAGAATCGTTGACTGCTCTTCTCACTGATTGTTGTCCAGCCGCAAAGACATCCCAGAGAACAAGCCGTGGCCACATCAAGACCAAGATCCTCTGAAGCCTGGCTTCCGCTGTCTGCAAGGACTCGTGAATCTGTTGCCCAACGGTCCAGACGATGGAGGGCTCATTGTCTGCAAGGGCGGCCATCTCGCTTCAGAAGAATTCCATCGTGTCCACATCGATGAGCCACGAATTCCTGCATGGACCCCAGAGTGGTTCGGCTTCACAGAAAGAGGCATGAAATGGCTCGATGATCAAGGCTACAAGTGGGAGAAGGTGTGCGCCGAGCCAGGTGACCTGCTCGTCTGGGACTCGAGGACACCACACTACAACCTTCCTTCCAGCTCATCGCAGCCTCGATTCGCTGTGTACACTTGCTACATGCCAGTCGCAGATGCCACGCAGGAAGACTTGGTGAGGAAGAAGGATGCGTTCGAGAGATTCGTGGGAACTACGCATTGGCCGAATGCGAGGCATGTGGGATCGAATATGGCGAAGAGAGATGGGGAAGACGATCCTCATTCGAGATTCGAGCCTCTGAACAAGCCAGTGTTGGATGAGCGGACGTTCAAGCTGACCGGCATTCCGTATATCAAGGCATAGTCGCTGGCGCACATCTTGATGTAACTTCAGTCGCTCTTTCAGTCAATCAGACTTTCGGTGCTTCTAAGAATTAACGATCGTTCAAGTTCCATTCTGCTTGTTAGTATACCAGCCAAGTCAGTTTCGCAAAGCTGTGTTCGATTGGTTTCACGCGCCATGAGCGTAGCCCAGCTGGAAGAACTGGAACGTCATGGCTACGTTGTACCTTCTCGTGGTGTAGCATTTGGCGAACGGCATACATCGGTGATCGATGGCCACCTTTTCATCTGTCCACAACCGCATGCTCGTTCAGGACGTTGCCGGACGGTGTTGAGCGGCTTTGTTCGCAGCCCTCGCCACTCGCTTCCATTTCTTCACCTCCTCGCAGCGTGAACCTTGAGAGTCATGTTCGCCTCCACCATCATGTGAAAGTGGTCGTACAGTGCGTTTCCCAAAGAAAATAACAAGAAGTCGATGATTGGATCGCAAGAGATGTTACGGACGAACGAGCCCCGCGGAAGCCCCAGGAAACATTGAAAAGGCTGGGCGTCGTCACTGTTTACGGCAGCAAAACACACAGCCAAGCACCAGGCCCATAACTTTACCCGGTCGGCTCGATCTTCCGGCAGAGTCAAGGCACGAGATGCATCGTGTAGAAGCCGATTTCTGTGTTCGCCATGCGCAAACGTGGCTGGCATAAACTTCTTGCGAGGCCAAGTCGCCGCGTAGGTGGTGACATGTCTTGCACGACGTCGATGGGTTTCTACTCGGCGAAATATCGCTACTTCTACCATGCTGGCGTACAAAGGTAAGAGCTGGGGTGCAACTTCACCTGGTCGGACACTTGGTTTGCCTTTTTCTCTGTCAAGGATCAGTCAAGATGATTACTGCCGGACTTCTTGTTGCCTCTCTGGCCGCTGCCGCATCGGCATCAGGCCCATACAGGAGCTTGCACAAGCGCCAAAGCAGCGACAACTCCACTCAAGCCGCACCAGCAGTTACTGGCGCGACATACGATGGACAATGCTTCTATCCTAAGCCTACCGATGACTTTGTTCTGGATGAGTATCTCGGCCGCTGGTACCAAGTAGCCGGTAAGTCCAATCGCGTGAGAAATAAGCAAATCTTGCCCAGATTTATGTTGACGATCAATTAGGAACTCTGGCACCATTCACTGCAGGCTGCAAGTGCATTGTCGCCGACTATGCTCTCAACGTGAGTAAATCGAGATGGACGCCGGACCGGATAGATCGACTAATCGAGCGAATAGGATAACGGCACCGTGAACGTCCAAAATGGCTGCGAGTTGAACGGCACTCAGATCCCGATCGAGGGAACTGCCACTCCAGTGTCCCCCTATGCTGGTTACGGCCACGTCGGAGTGTTGCGAGTGCAATTCCCGGGCCAGCCCGGCCCTGATTGCCCAGGTCCAAACTAGTATGTGATGAGTCCCGCATTGAGAGTTGGAAACATTTCCTCACAGTTGTACAGCATTGTTCAGGATATCGGCCTGAGCAGCGACGACGATTGCCATGGCAAGGTGGCTGCTGACGATGACAACGCTTTTGCCATCGTGCAAGCGAGCAACTTCACCACTCTGTTCCTCCTCAGCCGAAACCAGAACCCATCGAATGCCAGCATTGAGGTGAGCGTATTGAATACTATGCTGAATGTACACATTGCTGACCCCTCACAGGCATGGCTCGAGCGTGCACGAAAGCAGGGCTCGAACCTCGACAATGTTGCCATTACAGACCAGACCAACTGCCAGTTCACATAGATTACAGCTTCGATCTACCAGAGTCAGCAGCATAATTAATGTCTTCACTCAAGTCCGGGTGCTCATGAGCCGCCCAATACCCATCCCAGATCTTCGCAGTCCAATTCCCCACCTTCCCACTTCCAATCTTCTGCCCATCAAGACTCGTAATCGGCATCACACCTCCGGCAGTCGTACACATAAATATCTCATCAGCGCGGTAAACCAACTCCACAAGCACGACTTCCACCCTAACCTCCATCCCCACCTTCCTCGCAACCTCCAAAACCGTCTTCCTCGTAACCCCCTCCAACACCCCTCGATCCGGCGTGAACAACACCCCATCCTTCACAACACAAACATTATACCCCGCACCTTCCGTCAAATTCCCATCTCCATCCGTCAAAAACGGATACACCGCCCCACGATCGCCGGCCTCCATAAGTCCTCTCGTAAAATCTCCCCACTGCAAATTCTTCACAGTAGGATCAAACGCTCCAGGTGGCGTTCTTCTCACCGTTCTCGCAATAACCGCACTCCCTGAAGCATCCATCTGCGCAGCAGGCGACATAACCCAGACATAAGGTGAAATCCAGATATAAAGCGTATTGGTCAATTCTTCTGCTTTCTTGCCAAGGGCAGTATTACTAATACGTTCTAGACCACGAGTGACTATGTAGCAAATATACGCATCTTTGATGCCCGATTTGGCAAGCATGGAAATTGTGATTCGTTTGATTTCTTCGCGAGAGATGGGGATCCGGTAGCGCATTTTTTGACATGATTGGTTCAGACGGGTGAGATGGTCGTCGAGGCGGAAGAAACGGCCGTTCCAGGCGCTCGCAACGTCGTAGGTGAGGTCGCCTTTGAGAAAGCCTTGATCGAGGAGGGGGATGCGGGCGGAGTGGAGAGGGACGAGTTCGTTGGAGATGTAGGCGATGCCTTTGGCGTAGGGGTTGGTGGAGTAGATTGCTTCCAAGGCGGCTTGGCGTTGTTGGTAAGCGTCGAAGATGGGTTTCATGGTTGACATTGTGATTGCGCGGTGGTTTCACTGTTATTTCTGATGTTACTTCAGTCAGTAGCTCTGCATTGTACGGAGCCTTGATTAATATGTGGCGGGTTGATCATAAAGACAGCTGCAACCGGCCCGGGAAGCTAGTATGTACCTGGAGCTGTAGCTCTGCCTTGGGAAGATAGCATGTCGTTGACTGACTGCAAATGATTCTAACGATAAGTAGCAATACCTACCGCGCCATATGGAAGTGCGTTAAGTATTCAATGCTGCAAAACCGGGTAGGATAAGCGTGGTGCTGCCGGACCTGAGGCGGTGCTACCTTTCAAGAGGCATTTCTTGCTGAGTACACGCTTGAAACGAATGTTTCCATCGTCATTATGCTCAGCCAGTAGAAGATTCACTAGCAGCTGCTTGGTTCGCTGGTATCGTGATCAATGTCGTTTACTGCCACGAGCATTGCCATTTTGAGACATTTGGTAGACGGAGAATGTCCTCAAGTCTGTGAACGCCAACAACATTCGCTTCAAGATGGCTGGACTTGATTCCAGCGTTGTGTCACGGCTCGCAGCTACCATGTTTCCAAGGCACAGCAGGTTCCGATGATGACTGCCTTTTTCGTGGTGAGAGAGAAGGACGACTGGGGCAGGCAGTGAAGTTGGTCGGAACGGCAGCGGAATTGTTCCGAAGAACATGTCGCAATCATGCGACAGCGAGCTCCCACTTTCCCATTGACCAGACATAGCATAGCTCCATGATGCTGTTGATGTAAGCAGAGACGGTAGTCGTAAGTCAGACATCTGATCATTTCTCATTGACCATTGATGCTCTCACGTTTGACGCAACTCACTCGCCAGCTCACGAACAGCACAGCAACAGCGAAGTACACCATGTCGACCAGTTCTCTTCCTCCGTCGTGGCATTCGGGTCCCGAGGACTCGTTCCATGGCAAGATTACTGCCGATGGCCCCTTCCAGCCCGAGAAAGACCGCTACCACCTCTACATCGGCCTCTTCTGCCCATTCGCACACCGCGCCAACCTGGTCGTCCATCTCAAGCAGCTTCAGCATTACGCTGGCATCGAGACAAGCATTGTTCGGCCTTATCCAAAGGGCAATGACCAGGGGTGGCCGGGCTGGAGGTTCAACACTAGCGATGCGGAAGACAATTACGAAGGCGCAACTGAGGACAAGCTGTTTGGCAGCAAGTTCATGCACGAGGTCTACTTTAAAGCTGAGAAAGAATACAAGGGCAGATACAGCGTACCAGTGCTCTGGGATAAGAAGCTCAAAACCATCGTCAATAATGAGGTATTCGAAGTTGTGCATATGCGGGCCTGGTCGAAATGCTAACGACTTCAGTCTCATGAACTGCTCCGTGACCTGCAAACCGCATTCAACCCACTTCTTCCACCAGAGCTCGCCAACATTACCCTCTATCCCGAGCACCTACGCTCCAAAATCGATGCGCTCGCGCCCATCCTCCAGCGCGATTTGAACACGGGTGTATACAAAGCCGGCTTTGCGCCCGACCAGCAGACGTACGAGAAGAATCTCCCACCCGTCTTTGCGGTCCTCAACCTCCTCGAGACACTCGCGGCGTCGAATGATGGGCCGCACATCCTTGGTCGCGAGTTGACCGAAGTCGACATACGCGTCTTTTGCACCTTAATCAGATTCGACGTGGCCTACGTCCAGCATTTCAAAACCAATCTGTCCATGATACGATATGGGTATCCGACGCTACACAATTGGTTGAAGGGCTTGTATTGGAACAACAAAGCATTCGCAGAGACGACCGACTTCAGGCATATCAAGGAGAACTATACCAAGAGTCATGCTGGAATCAATCCTCGCGCCATCACACCAGTCGGGCCATGGCCGCACATTGATAGAGGATATGAGGACGATTGGAGCGGTGTTCGTGTCGGCGAAGTAGATCATCCCGATGTTAAAGGGTACGAAAAGAAATTGGAAGAGGAGTTGAAGAGCGCCGTGCCAGATAGCGCTCATGGAGGCTTTTCTTTGGACAATTTCAAATGAGCCCGCCAGCAGACCTGGCTCGATGACGTGCAATGGCAGGATTGTCTTGGACTCGCACGAAATTTCGTCCGCAGACACCGACCATTGCAGAGAAGGGTGTTTATCCCTCAGACTGGCGCAAATGGTGCCATTGGTAAATCTGAACAGACAGCTCGTGGCCGCGAGCACTTCTTGGTCCAATGCATGTACGATGTCACCGCGCCGAAAGAACTGCCGCTCAGCGACAGCATCAACAAGAAGTCAATGCGACGGGCTTCTGTAAAGGCGCAATGCGGCATCCTCTTATGGTTGTTGCTGGTTGGCGCAAACCTGTAGAAAGCGTGGAAACGTTCCGGCTGGAAGCGATCTGCAGGCAGGATTGTGTACCAAGACTCCGGATCTCCAAAATGTTTCCACGCAGACGACTTATCTATCAGCTCGGTCCCGAGTCTCAGTTAGGTGACAGTGTGACAGCTCAGTAGACATCATCCTTCATCACAGAGGCTCAGCCGGATGACATGGACCCGTTCCGACATCGAACAGATCCAGATCAAAGGGTCAGAGCGTTGGCAGGACATGATGTCTATCGGGCGAGATTTCCTGGAACTCAAGCATACGCAAGAAGGCATTGTCTGAGGAGAATGCCTTCTATGCTGACTGTCTTGTTGGGTGGCCGGCTGTAGGCGCCCACGAACTGCTCAGGACAACGCTCGTGCGCGAGCTGGACCGCTCTCTCATCGCCAACAAGACGCATGTGAAGGAACGCAAGGCCGGTGGTCGCAATGCCCGTCTCCTACTAAATAAAGGACTGTGCGTCGGGATCGGATCCTTGCTCCACGTTTTGAACACAACCAGCTTCGTCTCAGGTAAGCAGACGCCTAAAATTTGATGACAGGCGTGCCATTTCATTAAGCTCAGCCCACCGCACCCCTACCGGCTCTCCACTCTATTCTCCGGACTTCTGACTTCACCAAGCAATCTGTTTCTACTTTCGATCACTCGGCTATGCCGTGTCACTCAGGGAACTGCCCATTTGCGTACCTGCGGTCATCCTCGCCGCGATGCCCTTGGATGCCGTACCTCATCATCTGCATGCGGCATGCCTCGCTGCGGCCGAGTGATCATGTCCGATAAAACTGATGCCCACCCCGGCCCTGCCCACCTGAGACCTACGCTGGACGTACATCTCTGTCTCTGTGGACTTCTTTGAAGAGATTCCACTATCCATCGAGTCGACATCTGGACCACCTCCACACTGGGAAGGATACCATCATGGCTCAAGTCAAGTCGCCGGCTGAGCACATGCTCGCCAGCGCTACTGGATCGTCCTCGCAGGTCAATGTCATAGATCCTCTCACCGGAACAACAGCTGCGACGTCGGTTTTTCAGCAGCCGAAATTCGTCTTCATCTTCTTGCTCGTCATCTCTTTGGTCATTGCCAGAGTATTCAACAGCAAGAACAGACTCCCCGCTGGAGTGAAGCCACTTCCGCGACTACCAGGTATGATGGATCGCGAATTGAATGAGAGCGTTGAGGAGAGGCTGACTCTGAACAGGTCTACCATACGCCGGCCGCTTTTGGGATGTTCCAGGACCAGGTATCGAAGCAGCATGGCACTTTGGCGGTCTCCACAAGCAATATGGCCCAATCTACGAGTGGAAGGTGATGGGAGTCATTCACATCTGGATCGAATCCGACAAGATTGCCAGAGATCTTTTCGTCACACGCCAGAAGAACTACTGTGATCGCAACGAACTTCCAGCCGCGATCGGCGTGCGCGAGGGTGCTGAGATTCTGCCACTGATGGGTTACGGCGAGAAGTTCCGAAGATATAAGAACTTCATGCATCTCATCATGAGGCATGCTACTCCAAAGACGTTCTACAATTGGCCCAGCCAAGAGAACAAGAGAACGCTTCGAAGAGTGCTGCAAGAGCCAGAACGCTGGTCGGAACATATGCTTGTGCACTGCGCGCGGACCATTGCCGGTGTCGCCTGGGCTGACCCTCAGCACGGAAGCAAGTTGCTGAAGATCATCCCTGTGATTCTCAAGGCCGTGTCTCCAGCCGGGCCTGTGATCAACAAGCTGACTTTCCTGGCCAACCTGCCCGAGTCTGTTTCTCCTTGGAAGAAGGCGGAGTCAGAGCGTAGGCAGGAGATGACAGACGCTTTTGTCGAGGCCTTGAAAGATGTAGAAAGGAGGACCAACGAGGGCAACTGTGAGGACTGCTGGAGTAAGCTCTGGACGACCAAGGAGAAGGGTACAGAGCATCTGGACGACTACGAAGCAGCACACGCCATTGGATCCTCATCATTCGTCGCCATCGCCACTGTTGGAGGACCACTTCACGCATTCTTTACGGCAATGTGCCACTACCCATCCTGGCAAGGGAAGGTCGTCGAAGAGATCGACCGCGTCTGCGGCAACCGCCCACCTGAGATGTCTGATATGCCAAATCTCCCGCGCCTGCGAGCAACTGTCAAGGAAATCGTCCGATGGCGACAAGCCACGCCTCTTGGTGTCCCTCACGTTGTGATGGAAGACGATGTTTACGAAGGCTACCACATCCCCAAGGGCGCGATTTGCCACGCAAACCACTAGTAAGCTCATCATTCCTCTACTCTCACATACCACCTGCTAACATTATTCCAGCCTCATCTCCCGCGAAGAATCCGTCTACCCCTCCGGCAACGAATTCATCCCCGAACGCTGGCTCGACCCCTCCTATCCAACCTATAAAGAACCCCTAACCGAATTTCCCAACCTCAACGGCGACCGCGGCTTCGGCTACGGCAACCGTTCCTGCCCCGGCGTCGACCTCACCCAATGCGAACTCCTCGGATTGATCGGCCACCTCATCTGGGCCTTCGAAATCAAACGACCAGAGGGCAAACACGCCGCAGAGAACCCTGTACCTTGGTACGAGACTGCTCCTTGGGTCATCACGATGAGTAAGCCATTTAAATGTGATGTTAAGGTGAGGAGTGAGGAGAAGAGAAGGTGGATTGAAGAGTTTGCGCCTGAGGGTGGGCAGTTGATTAAGGATTCGGAGAAGGAGAGGACGAGTCGGTGGGATGTTGTGAGGAAGCCGGGGCAGGAACATTTTAATTGGGATGGGTTGACGGATTTGGCTACGGGGCATGAGGGGAAGGTTTATGCTCCTGGTGTTTAGAGATGAGATAAAGTGATACAGGAATCTTTATGTAATGACCTATGCTGGTGTTGTTGTGTGTACTGGTAATGATCCGGAGTTGATCCGGGCCTGTCAGCGCTTGTTTGTGGTCTGCAAATTTCTTTTTGGAGCGTTGGTGGGTGGGCATTGGGCTAGGGGTTGCAGGGGATGAAGCGCGGAGGGAGAGGGTAACTACTGTTGACTGAATAGATCATTGCCACTTGATCACGACTTGAACATCACTCTCGCTTTCCCTGACCTTATCTATTGAGCATTTCCTGCTTCTGCTTCGAATCATGCTTGCCACACAGCTGCTTCTATTCTGCATGCAGGGATCTGTTGCCACATGTCGAGCACTTAAGACCCCATACATGCCATCAAGCTCGCCATGATTGATCTTGCTTCTCTTTGTCTCTCACCGATAACTCTTTTCTGGAAGAAAAATTCGTGATCAATGCTGGAGCATACTGGAGAAGCGGCGAGAATGTGAGGTTTTTTTTTTTTTTTGATATCACCACTTCTCAGCTAGACTTATTACTGACATTCGGCAGTCATATGTACATGCCACGCGCTCGACCTCGAGTATAAGGAGCACCGACAATAGATCCAGCACGAATCTGTCTACGTGCAAACGGAGGGCTCACGATTCGGCAAAAAGAGAAACATGATGTGTATCATCGAACTTGTTTCTTGAATATTGCTCGAGGTTATCTCGTCTTCCGATGCGCTCACTCTGGCTCGTTGACTTCTCTCCTTAACTCGAATGCTGCTCTCTCCATATGAGTTTTAACGACGGCTCTGATTGCTGGATATTGTTCGAGCCGATCGGAGATTCTGAGTGCCGTAGACACCCCGAGATCTTTCTTGCCGCTTGCCCTTCTATACTGAGATCTGCACTCTTCTGCTGAAGCTCGACGAGTTCCTTTCGTCCAGTCCATAGGATCTCAACCCTCGTCCAAGATACAAGTCTCGATCCCGTGCATACTCCGCGCGACCGGAAGTCGACTTCTTCCTCTCCGCAATCACCTCCGGCCAAGCTGTTCGCTACCGCATCGACATACCTGTTCGATAAAGGGCCGAACGGCAAACATGAGCCTCGTGGAGATTTGTATCTCCGGTCGGGCAACAACGCATTGTTGAACCCATGATGAGGCTCTCTTCCCGCTAGCTCTTCATATTCCCCGCAATCACATGCGACCACACAGCTAGCGCCACAGTAGTGCGAATCTTGCTGTGTATACCAAGTATTCGGATCCGAAACAACAAAGTGAACGAATAATTCTCAACTGCGTGTCAGCCGCGCGTGGTGTTGATTGCTACGTGTCAACTCATCATCAGTTCTGTGGGTAGGAGTCAGAGGGCCTGGCCACCCGTTCCATCAAGATTATGTCCAATCTCGGCCCGGCCGAATCCTCAGCCTTGTTCACAGCCAGCAAACTTTCGAGCTTGAAATCCTTCAGCCTTGCGCGGGAGGTCATCTGGGCGCGATGACCAGTCACAATCACTGCTTGGAGCGAGGCTTGCAGACTTGATCGGCTTGTTCTAGTATTCGACACGAGGTATCGGGATTGTTCGGTTCTGCGCTGTCCTGGTGACCTGTCTTTGCCGCATCATCGATGTTCGTGATATAGAAGTGCAGGACGGGTGCGTTCGGTTCGCCATGCGCGGCTCCTGCGAAACGGAAGGGAAGGAGTGCAGTTCCGAGCTAGAGGTACCTCAGCTTCAGATGTTTGATGGCTGCGTGATGAATCTAGGAGTCCGCGTCCCATGTGTTTCGTGCTCAAGGTTGTAGTTGACAGAAATCCTGGAGAAGACCGAGTTGTCCAGAGCCAGCATCTGCTGGGGCGAAAAGAATTTGATTGCTCATGAACCTGTTTTTGGTCTCGTGTTACAGAGGAATACGAATACAGAGGAGATATGTGTTGGTACAAAGGTCTTGCGGTCAAGTCGCCGCTGGATCACAGGTGCTTATTAGCCTCATTCACTTTCCACCGCAAATGGCTCACACTGCTATGCCTTCGCGGGCGCTGAACATGTACATATCCCCACTTGTCCAGGTCGATTCTCTGCATGGCGTCAACGTCTTCTTGTGTGACCAAGAATGTCGGCGGTTTCCCGTCAACTTCTTCGTTGGTGACTGGTCTGATTGGGGGCTTGTCTGCAATTTCCTGTATTTGGTTCGCCCATTCCAGGACCATTTCCTGTTTACGTTCTGCGCATGTAGATCGCGAGCTAGCTGCTGTGGAAGTTGCATCTTGATTGGACTCACGGTTCTGCTCAGGGCTTCGCGGCTCGAAAAGAGGCTCAGGGAGCACAAATTCATCCAGAGGCAGGTCCGGCAGCGAGCTTGAGATCTCTGAGAAATACTGTCTCCTGATAGCATCAGCCGCTGCAAGAGCGTCGCCGAACTGCTTTTCAAGAGCGGCGCGCGAGGCTTGATAACTTCGTTCGTAACAAGACTCTGTTTCACTCGGCGTTTTGCCCTGGTCTCTCTCCAAGGCTCGGATGCTGAGTGCCTGCTGGTGTTCAACATCAAGGTCCGCGAGCTCTTCCCCGAGAAGCCGTACATCTCCCGCCTTGTCGTAGTATGTTTGCAGCAATGGGTCGAGAATTGGAGAAAGTGTGCTCTGTGACGTTGTTGTCGAAGTGTTTTCGAGGCGAACTTGATCTAGCTGAGTACTATCCCACGCGCCAGTCGATTTCAGAAATTCGTCCAATTGCTTTGAAAATGCAATTTCACTTTCCCGCAGTCGGTACTCATGGCTGCTGAGCTTGCCTTGGAGATTTTTAGCCGTTGTAGCCTTCGCATCCGCGGTGTCGGAGTCGACAAGCATGTTGTCGCATAGTGTCAAGAATGCCGGTTGATCGAGGCTATAACCTCCACCTTGATCTCGGATGTACTTCATCAATTCGTGCTTGGACTCGTGGAAGAAGCGACGCGCATCACTGGACTGCTGCAAGGCTTGCTGAGCTTCCACCCTGATGTGTTCAACCCTCGCGCGTCTGCGCAGAAGTTGGACATATTGTCGTCGCAGCTCTTGTGTGATGTCACCCTGGATGACGAGTGCTTCTCCCTCCTGCCGTGCAGGCTGCTCGAGCTCATGATGGAATGTCGGTCGACTATCGCGGGCATCCGGCACGACGTGTGGTGGTTGTGTATCGAGGTGCTGTTCGTTAGTTCTATTGCTGTCGGCCTCGGTTCGGCAGTGTTCCCCACTTCTGCGCCCTTTCGAAGACATCAGAAATCGCCATGATCGCATTGCAAGGTTGGACTTCATGACATGGATGCAGACGTGCTTGCTACGACGTCTACTATACATACCAACAAGTATGCGCCCGTGCCAGGAGGCTGTGCAACGCCACTTGGAACGTTCGAAACTCTAGGCAAAAGAAGTGGCGAGATTCAAGGGTGTCTTCCAACCACCGATCACATCCAAGAAATACCGTCTGGAGCGGCTGGGAAGCACGAGCTCTCCCTACTTCCAAGGAGCTAACTACTGCAACTCGCAAGGCCTGCAAGACCTTTCATGTGCCAGGAAGCTAATGAAGCTGCAGAACAAGCTCGCGCCGACCTCCCAGCTGATTTGCCACATGGTTCGGACGTGCTGCATACACCAGGCGGAGAGACTACCGAGGTGATAGTTATAACTATCGGCATTTCCAGGCTCGTGCGATGACTTGTAAGAAGTTGCATTGCGCCTGTGCGCCTGTGTTACTCATGAGCGCACGAAATGGCCGCCCCACAACAAGATTGGATCTTGGACGAGACACGGAATCTCTGGTACCGCATTGACTACGTTACGCGACAGTATGTATATCAAGATGGGACCACGTTACCGCTGCCGACGACTCAATCGCCCCCGCCAGCTCAATCTCCGCCAGGAGCTAGGCCTCGCACCCTTCCTGGGAGTAGCATCCCAGCAGGCTCAAGAGGGCCAGCCGCGTCATCTGCCAGTACCACGCCGCAAGTTGCATCGCCTCGCAATACAAGAACAACAGTTGTGTCGTCTGACAGTTCCAAATCGCCAACGTACCAAGCTGTTTCGGGGAAGATAGCTATCACACAACCTGTCTTCGTTAAGCGATCGGAAGACTTCTTTCAGAGATTTCAAGTTATCGCGTTGCGGCCTGCAGAACTCCCTCACGGGCTCAGATCAGCCGTAGACACGAATCTTAGCGACCTCCGAGCCGGCAACGAAACGTTCTCCGGGGTTCGCAGATTTGTAGTGATTACAGAAGCGAATCAAGGATACGTTCTCGCATTACCTATCCTGACCTATGGCGGGCAGGGCGTTGCAGCAGACGGCGTTGTGAAGCACGAACACGGCATCATCCACACACACAGCGCAGACCAGAAGCCACCATTCCCACCCCCACTCAAGGGCGAACTGCCCGTTCGCAAAGAGACAGGCATGTTGCCGACCCCCATTCGTGTGAAACTACGCGATCTCTCGGAAAAGCTTCATCGCTGCTCAAGAATCAACTATGGGCAACCGACTTCAATCCCAATCACGGTTCCTGTCCACCATATTGGAGATGTCGCCAGGGACTCGCAGGGCCCTTTGCTTTCCCAGGCCAAGTATGTTCGTAATCATAAGCGGCAAGAGGAACAACGCGAAGTAGCAGCATCGGAAGAGGATCCGCGGACTAGGCAAGAAGAAGCACAAAATGCCGACGCAGCGTTTTACCAGGCTGAATACCACAAGAGGAAAGCCAAAGGGCAACTAGAGATAGAGATTTTGCAGTATCTCATCACGGTCTATCAGCGCACGCATCCCAGCTTGTCTTGGAACGAGGCTTCGGCGATTGTGCAGCGTCTCTTGAGATCCTGAAGCTGGAGGCAGGTCGCGACATGGTACGTCAAACCAGTTATCGCAGATCTAAGGATTGCGACACTGGTGGCAGTGCCGTTGAACTTACAACGAAATACGTAAAGCCGTCGGGGTGGCACCAAGAAGAAGCGACGCCGATGCTTGGTATCGTGCCTGACGGTTCTTTTGAGCTTGCACGAAATTAATGAGCCAATGCCGGCATGCTTTTGATTTTGATGATTGCAGAATGGAATTGTGCAGGTTCTGATATTCGAATGTTCATGCAGATTTGTTCCAGAATACTTTTATTCCCGCGCGACGGCTGTTCTCCCTTCCGGCCACGGCTGTCATCGGTCTTTACATTCCTCTCAAGATTGGTATAGGTGCCCTCCGCTGCACCTCGTTCTGTTGGTCCACCAGAGCGCGGATCGAATCTTCATGCACCATTCCCACAGCATTCGCTTTCATGTTATGCTCTATCGTGTAAATTTTCCCGTAATTTATGCGCGACGTCGGCTTGAGCCTCTCCGTTGGGTCATCAGGAGTGATGCGGATAGCTGTTGGTAGCATTCCTCGCTCTCCCTGAAGAGGCTGCGGCACTGCAGTACCCATGTATACTATTCCGTGATCTACCCTATCACTCCTGTTCGCGACGCCGTAACCCTGGTGGCTCGTAATTGGACTGACACGGTTAGCAGATCATTCACCTGACAGACGAATCCGGACTTACATCGCGAGAGAATGCTGTTGCTTTTGAGCAAAGATAATAAAACGGCGGATCTTGGCTTGTGCTCGTTCTCCATAGGCCACAGGGAAGCTGCAAACACTGGCAGCATCTGCAGTGCTTCCCTCCGTTTCTGTCCAGAGGACCGACAGGACCTGAACCGGACTATTAGCATCGAACAACAGCACAAGATAGATAGAACTTACTCTACCGACTCTGAAAAACTTCTGCGGTCTCCATTTGAAGTCTGCGAAATGGTCAGTGACGTTCCGTTGCGCGGGTGCCAGACTTACGTGAATTGAGAAGTTGTGGATTTATATCTGGAGTGAGCAAAGTTGGGTTGGGGTTGGCAACAAGTTGACGAGTAGGACCCGAATTGTCCCTAGGTGGCGATTCTGCGTATGAGACCGGCGGGGGTTGGTAGCGCTCGACACTCGATGCCTGCGGAGCCGCCTCCCATGATGAGTTTGCCCCAATACGAGCGTGTGACGGCTGTTGCTGTTGCTGGTACTGCTTTTGTTGTTGTTGCTGTCTTTGTTGCTGTTGTTGTTGCTGTTGCTCATATATGCGAACATTGGTCGTATTGCTGAGATCGAATTGTGTTTGGATATAACCAGATTGCGGAAAAGCCGCAGCAGTCCTGGATGACATCCAGCCCGACTGCAGATCATTGGGGGCTGTGTATGACTCACGAGGTCTTCCTGCTAACATGTTGTTTTGCAGATTCGGCGCTCTGATCTGGACGTGGCGCGGGGAGTTGTTCTGGGAGCCCGCGTTCGTTGAGATGTTCGGTTGAGTGTTATCTCTGTGAGGAGCAAGTGTAAGTCTCTTATGGCTGTTTGGAGAGAGAGAGATTGTGTACTCACTCCATATTTGGGATGAAGGTTCCGCTATCGCGAGAGCGATATTGTGACACTGTGGTGTTCGCCTGTTGACGCATGCTTTCCATGAGCATAATGATTTGTCTGAGCTCTTCACAAAACCCCTTGTCTGGTTCTCTGGTAACCGCATGCCTCATACCGCTGCTAGATATCATCTGAAATGTCTCGAATAATCTTTGTGATGTGCTTGGTGTTCCAGCGTGACGCTCGGTTCCAGCTTGAGGGGAGTAAAATGAGGAATTGTTCTGTATGAAAGCGCTGTTGAGGGCCGTGGCCATCAGACCCAACAGATGCTGCCATCCTGGTCGCTGTAACAGGTGCTGCAGCTCTTGTACAGCAGCATAGTCGGTCATGTTCTGTCGCAGACCGCTCTATGCTGGCGTCGTGCCGCGGGCCAAGGGCATCGTTCGGCCCTTTAGCTCTACCACAATTCAGTTGAAATGCTGTGGTAGAAGAAGTGTTCATCTGCATCTAAACGTCCCAACCTCGTCTTTTTGATATGAACGGGCTGTGTAAGATCGGCAAGGCCATGTATGACACGTCGGCGGTTCGCATTTGGGCGGTTCCAGGTCCCACGATTGGTGGTTGCATGGAGCTGTGCGTGCATGGTTAGCGTCGTAGGAGGAGGCCGCGAGCTCTCTCGCGAATCACAGAACAGCTCCAAGTTGTTTTCGCTAATCAACAACTTTACAACAAGCTGCAGTGCTGCAGTGGCTGCAGTGGCTGCCTGCCCAAGGTCACACTGTGAGCAATTCTGGCGAGGTGGCGTACCGCCTCACTATTCGCTAGGTCTCTGTCGGGCTTCAATCTTCAATCTTCACCCAGACAAGTGGCTCTAGCCACCACGTCCCAATCGTTCCAGCTAGCGATCAATGATGGAATACACATTCTTCTCATCCCAATCTCAGTGTGTAAATTGAGGTGTTGGGTCTGTTGAATGACACTACAGTATGTAACTTGCAAATAGAGACCTTCACTCCGACTCGTAACCTTGTCCACGCAAGAATTCACGGCAAGGGGAACGAATACTTGCTCTGCTCGTACTCGCCCAAGATCTGCACTAAATCGAATAGGGACTTCTGCTCCAGACTCCCAATGTGCCGAACTTTCGCATCGTATGGGATTGGCACGGTTGCAGTCAATGTCATTCGCAACGGCTTTCCAGTGCCCATTCCAGGTAGCTTCGTCTTGATGCGTAAACTTCTATCCGCATGTTGCTCAATATTGTGGCCAATATTATCTGGGGGCTGGGACTCTTCCTGGACATAGGTCACACTCATATCCGACCTTGCGTCAGGGCCGTCGGGTTGTTTAGGGAGTATAGGGCTGCAATGTCAGAGTCTACTCATGCGGCAAGAACGATTGCACTGACCATGCTACGCAGTCCTTGGCGTTCCTTTTAAATACCATGAGTGTAGTCCGTGACCCCCAAACAATAGCCTTCGGTGGAAGGGACGGGACGTGTGGTGGTTCTGCAAGCGATGTCTCAAACACCTGCGCGTAGTCAGCTCACAGAAATGAACACGAATGGGGCTCATCTTACCACGCCTCTGACGAAATAGTCTTGTTGCTGTGGCTGAAGCATTGCTATGCCACTAATTGTGAATAGAACCACCTCCTCATGGTCACAATGATGCCCTGCCTCGTCTCCATTGTCCTCTCCCTCTCTTGCTGCCAGTTGAGCACCGTGTCCCGTATCAAATCCATGATAGACTGTCGCCTCTATCGAACCCGATGAGAAAGGCCCATATTGCACCGATGGATCGCCGTCTATAACGGCCGAAAAGTTGTCCGTGCTTCCGTCAGAAGTATTCGTGGCAGTAGTGCTTTCGTCTGAAGACTCCTGGCGTATTGGTTCAAATTCTAGCAGTGCAAGCCATTGCGGTCCAACATCGTCCCTACGCATAGTTTTCTGCAAATCTGGGTCGGAATCGGCTGCTGAACGCACTGAGGCTCCCGCTATATCCTCACCTGACGGCGGGAGCGAGCCATCAAGGCCCTCATTGAGGTCTGCACGCGGCGTGCTTGAATAGAAGGCCTCATGTTCAGATTCAGCTGGCTGGCCATCCCATTCTGGCAGCTCAAACTCGGGAATTGGCATTACTGCGTCATCCGGCAATGGATGTACTTGCCCGAATTGTTCAGGCGAAACCTCCATTGCTGGTGTCGCGATAGAATCCAGCCAGTCTGTGGGTGGCAACGGTTGGGTCTGCCCGAGTGGGTCAGAAGATACATCAACTGTTGCCGCAACAGAGTCAAGCCATTCTACAACTGATCCGCTTGGAGTCTCTCGCCGATATCGAGTGGGATCGGGATCCAAACCAGCATCCATAACTTCGGCATGAAGCTTGTTAACACGGATTGTCAAAGCGTTAATCTCGCCGTGAACAACTTGAACCTCTTCATGGCACTTGGCCTCGAAATCTTCTTCAGTCATAGATAATACTTCATCTTGGTCCATCAGCCTTTGCCTCCGAAGCTTTTGATCCGCGTGTTCGTACGGCAGTTCGTCCTCAAGACGCTCTTTCATTAAACGCAGTTCACCGATGACATCAAAATATTCTCTTAGGAGGCTGGGCATTTCTGGTTCGCTCTCGTTGTCATCGTAAGCTTTGTACATTATCTTTCCAGTATCCGATAAGCTTTGCAGGAAATCAGTGCCTGAAGATCCAGCTTCATCACCGTCTTCCTTCCAGAGTTGTTCGTCCAATGTGTTCAGGTCATCGTACGAATCATGCAGCTCGGCTATCTTTTGTCGCAAATCGTCCTCATCTATCTCTAGTCGTTGCACTAAGTGGTCTGGAATTTCTGTCCTCGACGTGCGGATCGCTTTCATGAAGTCCGCTCGGGACTCATCGAAATGGCGAAGGCCGTCTCTTACAGCGTCTTGAGCGCACCGTACCCGCAGGCGCAAGTCGGTCGCACGTGTCCGGGTTTTCATGATGTATCCGAAGTATAGGGCAAAGCATCGCCCTCATCAGTGAACCAGAACGCGGTGGGAGCCGCGCGGCTGGAACTACCAACTTGTTATAGTTCTATCTTCCGGTAGTATCCTCAAATTGCCAATCTCGATGCGTGTATGAAGGTCATTGGCCGTATTCAAAGGAGTTGTCTTGTTTTCTAATCCGTTGCGGGGTCAAGCAGGCGGTTCGAATCCGGAGGTCGTACCCGTATCAACATCTGGTTTCACCCGATTGTGATGCGATGAGTTACACGTGTCCCTCGACTCTGGTTCTGCTCGCTATTGCTAGTATCTCGTGAATGTGAGAAATCTGGACACAGGAACAAGTGAGATTGAGGTGCAGTCCATTAGGTGGGACACGGGACGAGGCTGAGAAGCATGGAAGCTACTAGTACCACGCCTTATATACCTGGCTGACATGCACAGGTGCTGTCCCTAGTCACACGGGAAGGCGCCACGTACGCCACCACGAAACGCGTACAGCTTATTGGTTCAAAAGAAACCAATACATAAACTTCACATTATTGGTAAAGCAAGCCTGTCCAATTCGCTAGGAAGGGCGGGCGTCACGCTGCCTCTGCTTCATGCGATTTCATACGTTGAAAAATGGCTACGAACATAGGAGGCTGTTATATGAGCAGAATCCGCAGACAGTGGCCGAAGAGTCGTTTACATAATAGCCTTAGGTGGGCGACTAACAACAAGATAGAGTGCGAGTCGAGTCATCCAACATTTCCCGTTTCCACGACTTGGAGGAATGCCGCCACGAATCAAATGTCAAGTTCGGAGTCGGACTCTGACCAGCTTCCAGGCGCCGAAGCACTGCTAGGCAACAACACCCCGGCCAGGGCGCCTATAGAATCCATGAGCTTGGCCTCGAGCCTCGCAATCGCATATTGAATAACCGCAGACTGTCGTTCAAGCTCTTGCAATGCATCTGATTGACTTCGAAGCGCTTCGCTGTCGGCTCGCAATTGGTGTGCCTGTGTTTCGGACACTGGATTCAAGAAGCCATTGCCGTTCTCGAATGACTGCATGATGGCACCTGTTGACTCTTCGAAGAATCTGCGCTTGTGTAGATATTCTTGCATCGCATGACTCTTCTCGATCTGCAGAGTCAACCACTGGTCACGCTTGCGTGCGACTTTAGCGTGAAGAATCTGGATCTGGGGATGCGGATCTGGAATTTTCTGCCATGTCTCTGGCGTTGGCGGCAGAGTGCTGGGAAGCGGTTCTGAGTGTGGACATGCGGAGAACGGTCGTCGTACCATGTTGTCTTTGGGTTGCCGATTTGAAAAGTCCTGGAACCGCAATTGGCCGTGATAGCTACGAGGATTGGTAATATAATCAAAGTCTGTCAGCTCTCAGAGGTGCTGGTAGAAACGGGGCGGATTAGCGTGGAGGCTAGCTGGTGAAGATCTCTTTCATTTACCAAGGTTCATCAAGCGCTTCATCAGTGCGACTAGCAAGCCTGGATTCGCGACGTGCGAATCTTGCCGCCCGAGCACCATAGCCAAGGGACGGATGAGCATGCACAAGCCGCGCACCTGTGAGTACTGGGATGAAGCTGTATCAAAGAGTCGATCTTCAAATGCCAGCAAAAGCTGTGTTCACCGCCATATTCGCAGGTTAGCATATCGCCACGTAATCGTGCTGCACATGATGTCAAGACATGTCTCTACACGTGGGAATGTAGTTCTTCATCGTGCATTCACAAGAAGACTGCTTCGGCGATAAGCATTCTCACTTCGTCCAATAAGTGCGCCTCACATACGCTTTGCTGTACGTTGAGCAGGGCTGCAGATCGTCAACGCTTTACTGCAAACGTGATGTGAGGACGACTGTATTGTAGCCTCTCGTGTTTTATAGGCTTCCACCTTGTGTTCAGTCATGTACGATGCAAGTGCGCATTGCAACAGGCAATCGTGATTATTGCTTCCGGTGACGATTGTTTCGACCCAACTCTCTGTCTGCGTTGCTTCACAATATGTTGTGTCCTCGCAAATGTCCTCGAGGTGCAGACGACGATTTTGCTGGTACTGGAAATATTCGGACGAACGGGCGCGCTTGCGTACAGGTTGGGCGGCTGATCGAGCGGAGAGTGGATGCCAATGTAGGGCGAGAGGCTGTGATTCGAGTCCGAGTAGCAGGTCTTGCCTCGCCAATACTGATCCGTCTCGCTGTCATTCACCCGTTGCGGTGGTCAATGGCTAAGCGCTCATGGCGGTGACAAACATCACCGCCATATGTACACTGCTCCTGTGAATGAGCAGAGGCTGACCTCGAAAGTCTGTCGCAGGGTTGATGGTGCTGCAGAAGGATGTAGGAGGTAGTGGGAGAACTCGGCGCGAGAGAAGGCAACGCGTATCGGAGCACGGATCCTGATTCGGTCTAGTGGGAATTTGTCCAAGAAGACTTTCCGACATCACAACTCTCGAGTGAACTATGCTGCTTCCATCACAACAGCCATCGCGAATATTGTCTAGTCTTATGATCTGCTGACTGATAGATATTAAGCCCTCGGCCAGAATGGTCCATGGAATGAGTGGAACTTGGTCCCGGCTTTGCCCAGCTCCAATTCCGATTCCCATGGATTGACCGACAGACACAGATATGCACTACCACAGCACTTACAGAAGGTCTACAGAGTCATCTAGAATTACGGGGGTGATGATACAGATTCGCTCATTGCGAGTCTCCCCATCCAGAGCAGACAAGAGCGAGACCGCGAGCAACACGACGCGTGTCGTGATAGCATTTTCGAGCACAGTGCCTTTCGTGTGCACGACTAGCTGGCGTTTCCTTGAAACGGACAAGCAGTCAAGCACTTGAGAGAATCCCGGCCACGTTGATGTCACCGCGTTTCTGATTTTCCTTTGGACGAAGAAGGCTTGAAGAATGGGCACTTTCACCGCAAGAATGAATCCAGCCAGGCGCACCCAATGGCAACGGCACAAATGCCATGCTGCCCAAGTGCGCATTGCTAGGCTGCATCAAGGTACATCATGGCAGTCAGAAGTGGCACGCAAGCAGACGCAAGCAAGGCCAGTTCACTGATGAGACCGGGAAACAAGGCACTATATGCTTTGCCTTCACTGGCAAATGCGTTCGAGCTCGCATCTGCTATAAATCAACCATAAACTCGTGATACGGCACTATGGAAGCTTGTTTTTTATGTCACGAAGCTATGCGGTCTGAGATGCAGGAATACCAGAGTTGGGACTGACCACGCAAGCAGAGCCTCATCGCCTGCGCTGGACCAGTCTAAGAATTCTCGACTCGCCCTCATCAGTCAGTAATGTTACTGAACCAGGCGCAAAAGATGTCGTCATCACGCCGGAGTTGATTGTAGCGGCCAATCTCGATACAGAGAATTCCATGAGTAAGTCGAACGGGCTGAAACGTGACTAACAGGGGCATTGCTTGTTTGACAAAGCATTTCCAAGTCATTTCCAGGATCGCAGCTTGCACCCGGCATGAGTGTCCGAGAACTCCATTCGCGAAATCAATCACCGCCGTATCTACTGGAAGGCCCGGGTGGCCGCAAAAAAAA